GCAAATCCACTTCTATAAAGGACACCTCTCTGCTGCTGCATGTCTTTCGGCATCTAACTTCAACTTTATTCTTCACCGTTCATACCCATTGTGGAGGGCAGAGGTTATTTGCTGCTCACCTCCACTTTACTCATAGCCCTTAGTAATAGTAACAATCCTTGAATTTGATAAAGCGCCTTATCACTGTAATGATATCTCATCTCCCGTTACTTTATACGTAGTAGATTATGCATTCCATTTCACTACAGTGGTCTGTGATGTTCCAGATTCTCCCAAGAACATATCTCTTTGAGTGTTCCTTTAGTCAATATCTTAATTTTTTTATTTCCCTGCTCGATGCCCACCATTTATATTGTAAAGTGCTATGAGACATTCTTTCACGTGAAAGACACTTTATAAATGTACTCGGTTGTTAGTTTGGCCGGATTGCAAATCAGTGCTATTCCCTCTCGTTTCCTTGCCTTCTGGCAACCGAAGGTGAGGAAATGCTATGAAATAGGGCTAACAGAGTGTGCATAAAGCAAAGGGAAGGATCCCTATTAAAAAAAGAACTATTTCTCTATTCACTAGAATTATTTGTCAAAGAGGTTCACTTTTCATCCTCTGGGTCAAAACAATTGAGTGAGATATTTGAGAGATGGAGTTGAATTGAGAGATCAATTATTTATTAAATGAATTAATTTAGATCTACTTTGGAATTGGCCAGAGACCACAATAGTCTTTTCCTGTATTCCTATCCAAATTGTTTGGTTCCTGAGCGCTTAGTAAACTTCTCACTAAGAAAGAATTGGGTTGGTTTTTGTAGTCTATTTTGGAACCACATCAGGCTGTACATATTTTGTGTGCGTTTCGTTCACAAAATATATAGTCAATTCACTTTACAGTATATCCTGTAAAGTGCTTTGAGACTTCTCGAAGATGCGATAAGGTACTATATCAAAGGCAAGGATTATTATTTATTATTATGTGAACCAGAATGTTTAGTTTTCAATAGTCCAGATTTTAAAATATCCACTTTGAGAATTTTAAAGTGCTGTGTGACTATTTGATTTGTAGAGTTATCATTTATGATTTTCAAATATAGATATTAAAATTACACGGGTTTAAAGGTATGTCAATGAACTGAAACAGATTTTGCTGCATTATTAACAAAAATAAAATTATAAATTGCAGGATCTGTTGGGTTTGCTCTTCCACCATAATGAATGTAATGTACACAACCTTTAGAAAGATAGTTTGTCATTATTATACTTATAATGCAGTAGTAAACATTTCAACACCTGCCGCCTACAGCTGATCATTGTTTAAAATCAGATGAAAAACACTTAACTTCAATACCCTCAATACACCACCTGGATAAAAAGAGGTACTATCAAAAAGTGCTTTAAGACACTTTTTAGAATTGGAAATGACATGATAGCGAATCCAGACTTCAGTGTTTTTGTAAATTCAAATTGATGGAAAGGTAAGACCCATTTAAAGATAAAGATACCTCTATCAATATAGAGGTTTATATCTCTATAAAGATAAGACCCATTTGGCTATCAGGTTCAGAACTCTTAACAGAGACCAAGAAAAAGGCAGCCCAGTCCTTGAACAGTTGGTCAGAATTAATTTTAAAAACAGACCACTGATATTCTCCTTCAGGCCCCAAACAGTCAGTCTTTGTCCTTTCCAGAGCATCCACCTGCTTACTAGGGTTTCAGGCAGAAAAATAGTCAGTGAGAAGCCAGAAAAAAGGAGCCAACTAACAGACCTGCTTTCACCTGTGTGCCAATGCTGACTGCAGCCAAGTTTCATCCTATTCCCTTTGGCTGATGTTTGTGCAGGATGTTACCTAAGAGCTCTTTAGTAACCATTGAAGAGCAATAAGATTTGATATTCGAGTCATTGCTTGATGTTTGAGCCATTAAAAAAAATTGGTTACTGGCTGTTTGTGGGACATTACTGAGCGCAAATTAGCTGTCGCATTCACTTACAAAACACACTGCACTTTAAATATATTCTGTGAAGCACTTTGGGATGTCCTCTTGCTGTGAAAGGTCCTATACCAAATGTAAGGATCATTCATTATTATTATGATAGTATATCTGGGCTATTTAATATATAATGCACAGTATTTAATAATAGGCTCTTGAAATGTAGTGGGTTTTTCTGCTGCAGTTAGTAGCAACGTCCCAATTTGACTCTTTTGAGTCAAGTCAACAACTATGCACATGCTATTAAATAGGATTGATCAGATACATTCTGATTCCAATAGTTTATCATAGCTACAGCACTCGATGTATCTACCCATTCTTGATCTCTGCCATCTAAGCAAATTCAAGATGGCAGCCTTGTACTAAAACACAAACAATATCTACGAAACTGATTATCCTTAGTACTGTGGTCACAGCATTTGATATGCCTAAATTGCATTGAAAGTACTTATTTTCAGACATATCACTTCTGGTGCATTAACTAAAGTGTTTCTGTCATCACCGCTTTAACACCTGCATGCTTATGTCATGTGGAGATAGTGAACTTTTTCTGTCTTCTGAAAACTGGGATTAGCAATGTCCTAATTGGATCTCTCGTAGGACTTTTTTTGGGGTGTCTGACTCTTGAGGAAACCCATCGCCATGCTTAAGAGCATCCAAATCAGACTTGGGAATTCCATATATGAATGCCACCTACAAGTGGAAATTTTCATCTGAGATGGCTTCAAGATAATGTGCTTAGCCATAGAATACCGCAATCAGGTCAATCCTTTGTGATAGTCTCAGTCATTCAGTTCTTAAGCCAGGCAGGCCTACAGTGTTCCAGGGCAAGGCTGATAACAGACCAGCCAGCCTGACTCATCAGTAGGATGCGGAGAGAGCAGATTAATCACGAGGAGCAGGGAATCTTCACGCTCAGCTCCTTTTAACCAAGCAAGCCAAAGTGGCTGCTAGTGTGGTGTTAGATAACAAGATGCTTGCCAGACAGCTATGCAGCAATCAATGCGGTTTTAACTAGTTAAACTCCAGCAGTAAATCCAACACACACTCTAGGGTCCCCAAGCTTATAACCTTGTGATAGTTTAGGATGCAAGCCTCATTATAAAACTGTATCTCATGAAGTATAAGACAACCTTGTGATAGTTTAGGATGCAAGCCTCATGATAAAACTGTATCTCATGTAGTATAAGACAATATCCAGCTAAAATTACTCTCCCAAATAATGGCTAAATTCTATCTCCCTCTGGCAAAATTATTCCCTCATTTCCTTATTCCCCTATCCCCCCCCCTCCACCCGACTGGTTTCTATGAAAGTGGATTATTTCCATGCTTAGTATTCACCAGGATAGTTTTTTGTAGGTAGTCAAAGTGAACTAGATAAATACCTAAAAAGGAATCAACTTTGGGGGTATGCGGAAAAGATTAGGACTGAAAGGATTGCTCTTAAATGAGCCAGCACATGATGGACTGAATGGTCTTCTGGGCTGTAAATTTCTATGGTTCTATGGAAATGTGTGTTGCACTTAAAAGGACAAATAATACAATAGCAGTTATAACATCATACCAGAAGGGTCAGCGATGCATGAAGACTTTGTAAAGAAAACCTGGGAGATTAAACCTTAATTAATTTTCTTAGGTATGTCAAATGTTAGGGCTAATACTTAATTATGAAACTATTGGTACATGGAAGATACAACTGAAGAAAAAAAGAGAAACCTACCTAGTAAGCAATAACACATAGTGTAACATCTTGGAACATTTTATGAAGATGATGGTGAACACTGTGCAGGGATTGGAGAGGAGCAAGTTAACTGTAGGCTCAGTCGAAGAAATAGGTAGGTTTTCCGGTGGGTTTTGGAGACAGGTAGAGAAGGAGTGAGATGGATGGATAGGGACATAGTGGCTGAAGACTTCGCTAAAATGATGCAGTAGATGGGGTGGGATTGCTGAGTAAGCTTGAGTTTGCCGAGGGGAGGAGTGAGCAGAAGAATGAGGTTGGGGAAAATCAGAAGTGAGTGTGTGACGGGATTTGTAAATGAGGATGGAGAATTTGAAGTTAATCCATTTGGAGATGGGGAACCGTGGAACCTGGCGAGGTGGGATCATTGGACATGAGGTTTTGTGTGAATAAGGTTGAGTTTTGGATGTGCTGAAGCTTGTGGATGATGGAGCTGGGAAAGCTGGCAAGGAGGACATTTGAAAAGTTGAGTGAAAATGATGAAGGTGTGAATGAGGATTTTGGCAGCTGTGGGAATGAGATAGAGATGGATATGGGCATGGGACGAAGATGCAGAAAAGCGGTAAGAAAAATGACAGGAAAGAGAGCCGAGGGTTGAATTAAATGCCAAGGTTTTGCACTGATTCAGTGAATTTGGGAGAAAAGTGAAGCACTTACTTGGTGGTGTGAATATATAAGTCGAAAATCCGGTTTTAAGTTCACACCATCAAGGTTGGTTCATTTACTGATTAGCTGATAATCACCCCGAAAATATCACTCCCACTGTTTTCAGCATTATTAACCTGACATGTGAACGATTGGCCAAAGTTTGATTGGGTAGATTATCTGTCTGTATGATGAATCCGATTGTGCATCGGCTAAACAAGTCATTGATATAAGCTGTAAATACATTAATCTGAGCCTTTTTAAAGCTCAAATCCTCTTCTGTTTCTAAAAGCTTGAGAACTGTTTACCATGGCTGTGTCTCGAGACATACTGCTTCTCTTCACCTCAACATGGCAAACCATTTTCCTTTTACTGAGTTTGTGACTACAAAGATCAAGTTTAAATGTTCTATTTGGCAGGGCTCCTGCTGGCTGTACGCCAGGACCTGTAAGCGTGCTGCTTATGTGGTTTACACTGGAGTGCTGAAAATGCCAAAACTAGCTGGCAACATAGTAGACGGGCTGATCATCGTCTGCAAGTATTAACTATACTACGTTAATGGAACAGCTATATAAAATCAAACACTATTTTATTTGCTACTGAATTCTTCAAAACTTTTTTTTCCCCTCTCTTCTTAGATATGACATCTGCACCTATAAAAACAAGCCTTGTGGAACTCTGGGTAAGTTTTACTGCTGAGGCCCTAATGAATGTTTTCCAGTAGTTGTTATTGACCCATTAACCTTTCACTTTGATGCCAGTCGGTTTTCCTTGACCTGAAAAGATAAAAACAGTTTTTATTATTATTTTTAAATTACCCTTAAGGTTTAAATTAGGTGAAACATTATCCTCCTTCTCTTGCTTCTCAACGATCAGTTATTTATCTTTATGGCAACCAGGCTGCTTCACCAAAAACAGTAAAGTTGATTCCATTTTTTTAATTTAGAGAGCGATGCGAACATCTTTATGACTACTTTATTTTCCAGTAACATACCCAGCATCACCACCATTGCTTTCTTGTGATATGCTCTCGTCCTGTCATGAGACACAACTGCCTTCACCACCTTTTTGGCAGACACGGCACCGTATATATGGTGGACTGTATAGCAGTGTGATTTTTCTGAGGTGCAAAACTAACATAAACTAACGCAGTTACCATGTATTATTTAAAGTAGTGCAGAAGTCAATTATGCACTGTAACTCAATCTGGGGTTCAGATACGGTTGAAAAAACACTTGAGTTTCATTGTCACAGTTTACAATATCATCCGATCCACTCAATTGTGTTCGAACTTTGCAATCCATTGCCACAAAACTAATATTCTGTATTTATTACACGTAATTTGATATACAATTGCAAGTGAGCTTCTGTTTCTACCAGTGCTCACAAACTGCTGATGGATACTTCATGTTGCGTACAGTTCAGTCGTAAGTTTATACACTTGTCATGTACAGAGCACAGTTATCATGTGGTGTCTCTGGTCAAAAAAAGTTGGACACTGTGTTATAATGGGAGTGCAAAAAATGTGGCTGTCGTCCCACTTCCAGTGTGTCAGCTGCCACTGATGTCACTTCATGTGCATGATGAGCCTGCGTGTCAAGTTATGCACAAAAGCATTACTAATGTCACTTCCTGCGCATAGCACACATGCAGGGCCCACATGAAATGACATTGCGGAGCTTCTGTGCTTCCGGTAAAACATAAGTTCACAGTAGACCTGAGCTAGGAGCGAACCCATTCTGAACAAAGGCGTGTTCTAACAGGGTCACACTGTATGTAATGAAGCTAGCACTGCATTGCAGCTTATACCTTTGTTTAAAAGACAAATCATATTCAGATATTGTGTGGGTTAGTTTGCTCCATTTGCTCAACATAGTGAATTTATTGATGTATGTGGACAAAGTGCTATACTTCACTGAATATGATAAATTTGATGAGCTTCTAAATAATTGCAATGCAATTTTATTGCGTAGATAATTTCATGTTTACAATCTAATGTTATTTATGATTGGATTGATTTATAAGTGAACAGAGATAAGTTTGCTAAATTAAACAATTAGAACATTGCCCACGAGTGAATTCGTAATATTGAGCAAATGGAAAAGAATAACCTGGCTATGTGTTCCAATAAAATATTTTTTTAATCATCAACATTTCTTAGGCGTTATTCACTGCAGAGAAAAAATGAATGGCATATGCGTAAATTAAAAGATTCATTTTTGATTTCCTCTAGGTACTTTAGGTATTTTTTTCTTAATCTATTCACACAAGAAAGCTGCTTGCAACAGAATTTTAACAGTTAGGATAACACTTACCTGTTTCAATTACTTGGTATAGTATAAACAACTTACTGTTCAACCCCCAAAAAAAATCTGCCTGACCAACATACCTTTTACTTTTTTGCTGGGTAAGAATAGTTGAAAAATAGAAATGTTGTTTTTAATTCCCTCTTTGGGCTCAAGTTTCAGGTGGTCCCAAGTTACCAGAAGTAAATTTATAAATCTAACCCCTAGTCTAGACGTTTTCCAGCGCTGGCTGGAGCTCAAAAAAAATTAATGTCTGGCCTGTAAAGTGCAATTCCCTCCAGTGAATTTGCAAATAACTATAAACTTAACCTTGTGCCAATTATTCCTTCTGTGTACGAAGGCTATATAAAAAAGAATCTAAGCATTTACAACACGAGTATTTAAGACTGAAACACCTTGGCTTGACCCTCTGTGTGTCCTCTCTGTTTATTCAGGCTTGGCCTCTGTGGCTGGAATGTGCGAGCCCGAGCGAAGCTGCAGCATCAATGAAGACATTGGCTTGGGTTCAGCATTCACAATTGCACATGAGATTGGTCACAAGTGAGTGAATTAAAAGTAATTCCAAATTTTAAAATGAATTCTTGGATGCCTCTGCCAAATCAGCCTTTAGCAACTTCATGCAAGATTGGTTAATGAGTCTTAACTACAAATGTTAAGTCAAATGTTACAAAAGTGCACTCTTCCCCAGTTGTGCCTCGCGTTGCCGTGAAAACAGTGTTTATGAACTTTCTTCCAGAATTTTATTTTAGAAAATGACAGTTGAATTTTTTTTTGAGGTATTTCTTTGTCATCTGAAGTTCCCTCCACTCTTCCCCACCTTTTTCCCAGTGCACTGGCCTACTGTGAAATCCCTTCTGGGACACTGATGCTAGGAGGCGCACAAGAGTGCTTCAAAAATGAATCCCCCAAAGATTTTCCCTATCTCCTTGTAGAAAGCACTTAACTTTTGCTCGGGATTTTCCTGCGCCAACATACCTATAATTGGTAACTCCTCAGTATCACGACCACAAATATGAATGCATAATAAATGTGGCAATAGACAGGATTGCAAGATTATTGCTTTACAACACCAGTAAACATCACAATGTTTTGTAAACAGTTTGTTTACATTTACCAGTCGGTCAGGCTGGTTCCAGAGTAAACAAAAAGGATTCAGACACTCCCAATGGGGTATGCACTGCCGTTGCAATGCAAAGCGTATAAATGAGACTCCTTTTGGCATTATCGCTTGGTATTTGTTTGTGTTGCAATGGTGATTCTCGGGGAAGTTAAGGAGGTAAAGGTAGTAAGACCACTTCATATTTTAGATATCTTGGCAGCAATGTTATGGCAATTGTAGAATGAAAGTTTGATCTTCCCTCCCTGCTGATTTCTTGATCCTCTGCCTTGTTGCTGTGAGACATTGTGAGACAAATGTGCGAATACTTGTCCCAATTTAATTTTGAAAAGGAATATTTATTATTGTCATTTGTTTGGTATTTCTAAGTAGGGAATGATGATTTTTTTGAAGAAACTATTTTAATCATTTCTAGTTTGTTTTTATTAGCCTGGATAGATAATTTGGTTTTGTTATTTCATGCCTAGTAAAAAGCTGTGTGTGTTGTGTGGGTGTGTGCACATGTGTGTATATATATGTGTGTCTATGAAAGAGATGTTGCATTCATTTGATATCTGATATTTGAAGTCATCTTTTACGTGGACATACTTATGTGCAGCAGAAAAGGCATTTAAATATAATGTCTGCTCCCAATAAGTTTGAAAACAGTGAAATGTATGTATATAATACAGATCAATATCTGTCCACATGATTCGTCAAACAAGGGCAACTTTGTTTTAATGATTAATGCATTCACTTACCATGGAACCTTTCACCTCGAGTCTGAAACAGAACTGTGATTAATCTTGTGGTGTTTTAATCTTCACAGATGTGTAATGTTTATCATATGAGATGTGTGGCAATGACAACCTAATTTATTAGAATAATCAACTTCACCCGTAATAGTTCCTTTTATCCAAATCTAAACCAGATCATTTTACTATTCGTACACCAGCAGTGTTGAAATAAAGAGGGATTTCAGCCATCACAAAATCAATCTTAATGAATGTGTTTTCAATGTACCAGTCAACTTTAAAAAATTTATTATCATACAAACTTTCATTCCATTGAATTGCACTGCACACCCTTTATCATGAATAAATTTGTCTCCGGCTCCAACCATATTGTGGGGCAAATAACTTTTCATTTGAACGCATGAAAATCAGGAGAAAGTCTCAACAGAGGAAGGTGGAGGAAAAATAAGGAATAGTTTACATTGCAGGAATATTTTCCTTTACGAAACAGTAGGGAAAGTAAGCCCCTGCCCCAGGAACCTATTATTTCCTTAATGATACCTTCTGTGTATACTCATAGAGCAGGTTTAAAGCTCAGAAACTGCTCAGGCCTTTTTTTAAAAGTCTCAAGATACAAATGCTTCCCTCAGCCTAACTTATGTTGCGTTTATGCTGCACGATTGGCAGCAAGACACAGTGAGTTTGGCAGCAATTCTTTGCAGAACGTGCAGTTTAAGCAGAGTTTCAGACAGCACGAATTGGACTGCAGCTGGGATTTTGAAACTATTTGACGGAGGTGGTTTCAGGAGCAGAGCGAAACTAACCCATCTAGTACCAATGCGGTGGGTGTGAATTCCACTGAACTCACTGCCCCCTTTTGAAGCTTTGAATGGGGACATTTTTAACGTTTTTTTTAAAACTTCAAGCCATGAATCTGTGATGAAAATGACACAGAGGCTTTGTTTCTTGGCTGTTGTTCCTCCCCAAAGAAAAAAAACATTTTTCCAAACACTGCCTTTTTAAAATCTCTTTTTGAAAATATTAATGTTGAAATGCCTTTTTCAGAGCACGGTTTGTAGTGCAGCACGATCAGTATGAAGGTTAAACATTGTTAAGAATTCACAAGGAGGCAGACTAGGGGGGCAGATTCTACTCATGTGAAAACATTCTTACAACCACAAAAAAATCACATTCATATCGTGCCCTTCAAGTCGGAAGGAAGTTCCAAGGTGCTGGACAGTTAAGGGTTTGCACCCGAGCTGGGGGAGGAATCAAGAAGGTTGAAGAGGGAAGGTGGGAGGCTGGCCAAAGCACGATCAAAGAGGAAAGTCATGAGATGGGTCTTGAAGGAGGCAAGAGAGGGGGCGAGCCGGAGGGATTCCAAGATAGAGTTCTAGAGGGTGGGGGCAGAGAAGCTAAAGGCCCGATCACCAATGGTGGGTACATTATCACAATTGTACTTCCGAAGGCTGCACTAATCGGATATGCCCTGCTAGCTGCCTTTGCACAGTGTGTCAGCTTGGCTCAGTGGTAGCACTCGCCTCTGAGTCAGAAGATTGTGAGTTCAAGCCCCACGTGGGACTTGGAATCACATAGTCCAAGTTGACACTCCAATGCGGTGCTGATCATGGCTTTTTGTAGAACATACTGGCAAGGCTTTTGCTTGGTTATCAGGAGCTGAGTACGAAGAATCCCTGCTCGCACTCGACTACTCCCATGTCCTGCTGATGGGCCAGGCTGGCTGGTCTGTCAGTAAGCGCTCTGAGACGCTACCCTGCGTGGAGGGCAGTTGTTGTGATGTGTTGTTGATTTGCTTGGTAAAGAACCAAACTACAGAGACTGCCACAGAGGGTTGGCTCAATTCCGACATTCCATTACCAAGCACATCACCTTGGAGCCAGCTCAGCTCCAAAGGGACCTTGCTTGCCTCTGCCCAAGGAGGATGGAGCCTCATGTGATATGCCCTGCTGGTTGCCACTGAGTGGTCCAGCGATGAACTGGTTTTCACACTAATTAAGGACATTTAACAAACTAATTTTGGTTGTGTGCAATTGGCTGCCACGTTTCGCCCACACAATACACAGTCAATTCACTTTGCAATATATTTCATGAAGGGCATTGAGACAACTCAATGACATGATGAGTCACTAAATCAAATGCAAGGATTATTATTATTATTAATTCAAGGTTTAAGTGGTCCGAAGATGGTAAACTAGCAGTGAAGCTGTGAGTTTGCTATGCCAGATTCAGAACATACATGTCTGACAAGAACTGCAGATAGTTCCTATGGAGACATTACTAAAACATCAAGAGAACCTTCTTGGTTTTCGGAGGAAATCCACCTCCTATATTGAGGAGACTTGAAATTTTAAGGGAATTAACCTTCCGAATCAGCATAAGAAAAACAAATGTATTTTTATAGTACCTTATCAGATCAAATTGGGTCAAAATGCTTCAGAAGAAATTACTGTCAAGTGTAGTGACTGTTTTTTGTAGGGAAGTTCGGCAGCTACTTTAACAGTCATGAAGTGAATGAAACCAAAGGAAGCATGCCATCTTTAATGTTTGCCTAAAGAACAGGCAGATAAGAGCTGGTTTAGAAATTCATCTGAAGGATGGCAAATCAGTCAATGCAACTCACTCCCAACACTACACTAGAGTATCTTCACTAGTCCATGCAGTTCCTGAGACTGGAAACGCACTCCAGGAGGTTCTGAAGAAACTCGATGACTTGAACAGAAGTGCAAAGGTGCAGCATTGTTAGCGTTGTACAGGAGGACCTCATCACATATATGCTCAATATGGGAAGTTGTTCTTGTCAATGTAGTCTGCCAGCAAGCTGTAATAACACATAAATGTCATCAAAGATTACTTGTGAATAGCAAGAAAAATGCTAATCGTATAGCAGATTAAGCTGATATTGATGGTAGAGTTAATGCACTGCAGTAATAATTTTTCAAGTGGTCAAATCACCCTGTCTGAATTTTCACTGTGGGTACATTCCAAGGCTGAACTGGCATTCGGACAAATTGGGAGTAGGGCATTATCTGGCAGAGCAGTAGTGCTGAAAGAGTTGACATTCCCCGAGGAGGCAATTATAGAATTATTATTTGGACAGGAGAATGTTGAAGACAGAGGGAATGGAATTGATGGGACAGAGGATAGCGCTACTATTAGGTACCCTCACAGAATAGGAGTCAAGGAAAACTTCCAGGCCCTGGACATTACATTATTATGATGCATTATCTATCCAATATATCTGCTACCATCTGCACATTCAAATTGTTTTCCACTAGGGTAAGGATTGCTCTTGAGAGCCGGCACAGACACTGTGGCCGAATGGCTTTGTTCTGTGCTGTAAATCTCTGTAGTTGTATGGTAGTTAACTATGCTTTGCAGTAAAATCCTGTATTTTTAAGTGTTTTGATAACATGATAAGGTGCAATATCAAATGCAATGATTATTTTTATAATATTTTTAGGCCATCCAATTATTCCTTTAAGCAAAATAGTCTTTATTAAAAATATGACCAGTAACATAACTTCAAAAGCACATAGTGAGAATGTACCATTTGCCCTTCAACCTGATTCCTCCACAAACTATACCCAATCTGCCCTATCATGGTCTCTGCCCAATTTATTTTATTTCCTGAGATAAAATTGGTTAAGATTGAATAATGCAGGTTATAAGGATAGGTAGTGAACTGAATTAAACTTTCTAATCTTATTCCCTGTGTTATTCAACCATAATCAATTTGCTTTCCAAATATGACACAAAAGTAGAAGCAGAGGAACATGAGAACGGCATTAGAGCAATGACCTATAAACTGCTAGCACCATATAAATGTGCAGTACAGAAGAAGGCCACTCAGCTTGTTGAGCCTCTTCAGACAATTTGTTAGATTATAGCAAGTATTTTAATCCCATCTCCCCGCCTTTTATTCCTAAATACCTTGAATACTCAAGTATGCGCCTATCTCTTAAACAATACAATTGATTCTGCAACTACAGTCTTTTGAGAGATGCAAACTACATTTTCACAGTCTTCTGTGTGAAGAATCACTTTCTGATCTAAATAGATTTAGGCCATTTACATTTTGTTTCCTAGCCGATAAAATGTGCAAATTTGAAACCTGCTTGAGATCAGGGAGACCTGAAACGAACAAAGGAAAAGAAGAATCATAATTTAGAGTAAAGATTATTCTGACGAGGGCTGTAGAAGTGTGATATCCACAGCTTTTATTATTACTGCCGGCCTATGTCATGTGCAGTTTGGAAACTATTAGTGCATAAAAACCAAGTACCATCACTCTCTGGCAATGAAATAATTTTGTGCAACACCATTTTCATGACCACTGCTCTTTATCCTCTTTCCTCAGTTCAGCTTCTTTTAGAAACCTTAAGAGATTCCTTCTGTGGAAAAATAACTTCACACACCACATTAAATGTGTTATACATAAAAGACACATATTTACTACTCTGTATGGAGAACCATTCCACTGAGGTGCCTCACATGTGAAGCACTTTGAGACAACCGCCTTACATGCAAATGTTGCTGTATCAACGCAAGTTATTATGACATACTTCTGGCTGTCGGATCGACATAGGCTCAACTCCCTGATATGTCACTAATTTTGTTCACTTTAATTCTGTACGTTTTTCCCACAATATTCTCTTCTGGTCAGAGGATACCGTCACCCCGCAGATGTCTCAAGACTCTTTAGTTGACTCAGCCGGAGGAGGTGTTCTTAACTGTTTGGAAATGGTCCCAACCATATTTTGCAGTTTTCCAGCCCCCCTGTCATGCCACTCCTTAGTTGAATCACCAGGAAGAGGCTAGAGTGTTCTGCCAGTTTTCCCTTCCTCTCCCACATGTTCCACATGAAAGCTGTTTCCCACGGACCAGTGGATATTTAGACCAGACAGAGGCCAAGACTTTGCCTGACACTCAACTCATCTTTTTCTTTCAGTTGTTGCAGTGACTTGCTGTGGATTTCCAGCATAACTGTCTCCATTTCAGATTTGTGGAATCCACCATCTTTTATTATTTCAGTGTTCACAGTCCAGGGTAACACTTCAATGCAGGACTGGAGGAGTGTTGCATTGATGGAGACTCTGTCTTGCAGATGAGGTGTTAAACAAAGGTTCCATCTGTCATTGTTTCAGGTGGATGTTAAAGATCCCAAGACACTATTGGAAAGAGGAAGGAGATTCTCCTGGTGTCTTAGCTAACAATCATTCAGGAAAAAAATGGTCATTCACTTCACTGTTTGTGAAAATTTGCAAAGTGATTGCCACTTTTGTTATTAAGCATAGTCACTATTTGTAGCAGTATTACTGGGATATTATAGGTGCTATAAAATACCGGTTCATCCTCAACTTCTTGCTGTGTTGATTAGCCTCTTTAATTATGTAGCTCAGTAGACTTCTGGTTAGAAATTGAGGGAACAGGGATAAGATTATAAAGATACTTGCAGATGGAGGGAGATTATATATCGAACATGATGGTTTCTGAGCTGCTGTTACCTTAGAGTGTCCTGCAAAGGAATGCAACTAGTCAATGTAGGATGCAAGGTTTGAAAGGTTGAATTATCTTGAATTATCTTTAGGAAGCAGAGCGAATGTTTCCGCAAGAGACAATTCAGGGTGGGCAGTTTCTAGGATAAAGCAGGTTACTTTACCTCGAACTTAAGAAGGAATGAGTTTGATAGACAGAATGGCATTTTTCATTCCGTGCTTTCTTATGTTCTAACATTATGTCCAGGACAGGCAGGATTATGCCTATAAGAGGTCTGAGGAAAGAATGCCATTTGAGAAAATGATTTAAAATCATGCTCCTGTTTGAAGATCCAATGCTCCAGTGTTATAGTTACTGGCCCTACCAAGCCACATCAAAGTGCTCCTGTTCTCAGTAGCTTGAGACAACCTTATCATTATGATCTTGAGTTCTTTGTCACTGCAGAATAAAAACTCAGCCCATGTTTTCACTTTCTTTTACTTAAATTGCCCATGACTTAGATTAATCTTCATGATTTTATGACTGGAATGAAAGGAACCCTGTGTCCAATGGTAAATAAAAAGGGTAGCAGCAAGAGAAGGAAGGAAAGAGAGTTTAAATGTAGAGATAAGCAACAGCAGCAGCCAGTGCAATAAAATGTAGGGCTTTACAATGCAATACTATTTCCATTATTCATACTTGCTTGGGTCCTGTCACTCTGGATACCTAGATCACTGGGTCAATGTCACGCATCCCACTGTGCAGAAACTTCATCTGCCAGCTACTGCTCCCCTCAGCTGTCTAGATCATTGTTTTTCTTCCATCACTGACCTTTTCCTTGATCCCACTGTTATTTTCCAAGCCAATTCTTTTCTTTGTTGTAAAGCAATAGTTTCAGTGAAACCAGCCGCATGTTTTTTTTATTTTTGTTAAAGTTTAATTGGTATTCTTTAACGAAACTTGAATTCAAGCATTCTTTGCCTGTGTATCTAATGCTTATTAGATATCCAACTGACGTGAAAGGCACTTTACAATTTTTTTNGTTTGTTGTTGTTATGGAGCAGTCTTCTATATGCTCTGGCTATTTGGAAGAACTGGGGAAAGGATATTAACTGCGTGGAAGATATTAAAGTAATCATCATATTACATAGTGCATTTTTTAAAATAAATCATTTTAAACTAATTGCCAAGTGGGAATCTGAATATTTTCTTTTGTATTAAACTGTAAATAATAATTGTTGGAAAGAGGTTTGGGGCCAAACCATTCTGTTGAAATTGGGATAGAGATTTTGAATCCTAAACTGATTGATAGTTAAAGACAAGTTTGTATCCCAATTTTCAGCCGGTCTATAAGCAGGTCCTTAAATAAGGAATGATGTTGATTGAAGAATGGGTTGTGTTTAGGAATACTGCAGGTTGGTTTCATGGAATGCAGACGAATAACATCCACTTTGTGTAACTCCTGCGGTTTTCCTCACACATGGAATTGACTGATTATTTTCCTGATACTGCACTCACTGTATATCATCTGTGATTTCAGCGATTTTAACCAAAGCCTGAATTGGATGCGAAGGTGTAAAGGGCAGAAAGTCTATGAAAAAGCATTAAATTAAGTATTTTGATAGGAAAGAAAAGAGAAGTACGGTAACTCTTTAAGAATAAATGTGTATCACTCATTTAATCAAGGCAATTCACATCTCGGAACATATACAGTGTTTAAAAGCTTTGCTGCCCTCAAAATGATGGTGTATATTAAGCAGATGAATGCTTTGAAAGTCAGACAGTGGCATGATAGATAGTTGTCTGGTTGCACATTGAACTAATACAGTACTTCTTTCTTGACAGTTTTGGTATGAACCATGATGGAATTGGAAACTCCTGTGGGACGAAAGGTCATGAAGCAGCAAAGCTCATGGCGGCTCACATTACTGCCAACACCAATCCATTCTCCTGGTCTGCGTGCAGCAGGGATTATATCACCAGCTTTTTGGAGTAAGTACCCAGTAGCATGTTAAATTAGATTACCAGTTTTGCGAAGAAAGTAACTTCACTGTATTTTTTCCCCACAAATTAATGTACCTTCAATTGATGTTATCGAGACTTGCAGCTCACTGACAGGTTTATTATACATTGTGTATTTATTGTGCATGGATTGTGTTGGATGTAATGGATATGTCACATATTTGAATGTTTTTCACGACATGACGTACTCATTGTTAAGTGCTTAGAGTACTTATAATGCCGGTCTCCTGTGGATCCGCAGTTAGCGGAAGTGTTAGAAATGTCCGTAAGAGAGATCACAGCATCCTGGCCGGCTTCCTGTGTGCTTTGCACATACGTAAGAAGTCGACTAGTCCACTCCAGAAGGTGGAAGTGACGTGACTGTGGACCTGACAACCTGGAAATGGGACTGGCAGCCATTTGTTTTCACAGACCCGTTAGAACCCGGTGCCTCCGCTCAACTAACTCCGGCCTTCTGCATGTCCCTCGTTCCCTCCATTCCACCATTGGTGGTTTTCAGCCATGACGCCCCGAAACTCTGGAACACATTTCCTCTATTCCTCCACCTTGCACCTTCCTTCCCCATCCTCAGGTCATGTCCGAAGACCTTCATATTCAACCGTGCCTATGGTCATCTCCCCCAGCTTGGCATCGTGTTCTGCCAATGTCAAGCCCTCTAGGGCATTACCCTGTGTGAGGGCGTTACATAAATGCAAATTATTGTCTTGACATTTTGAAAAAATTAACAATACAGGTTATCAGCACCTTTGAATTTATTTATGTTTCTGTCAGCACAGATTTTTAGTTATATTTTTAAACATGTTGAAGGACCTACTAATGAAAACAAAGCACAGACTTGTAATAGCGCAAACATTCTGATGAATCATAAATTATTCTCTTTTAGTTTAATGTCCTTTTTCTAACTTGGCCTTTATGTTAAAGCACGCATTAAATAGTGATCACTTATTTGCAGATACAGCAGATGCAACCACAACAATTTAGGCAGCTTTGTTCATGTTGGTTTTGGTTCATGCTTCACATTGCTGTCATATATAAACATAACTAATGAAGATACAGGCTTGGGGCTGAGGGAAAATCGTGGGATGCAACCTCTGCAATGTTCGCAATGAACCAAACTGTATCTCAGTCAGCAGTATTTGTGAGATATTTATTGTGTGTAGAGAAACAGTTTGTATTCCGAGTTCTGCTGCTTTCTAATTAAATTGATGATAAATGTGTAGCTGCACTAATTTTTTATCCCTGGCATTCTTACTGTCACTCCTACACTTGTGCTGTCTCTGCTACCCTTGCACTATCCCTTAGTCCCACACTTGCAATGTCACTCTTGCATTTATACTAATCAAGTCTTAACGCTAGATGGTTCTAGCTTGACTAGCAGTGGGAAGCTCGCCAGACAATGCAAGCTATTTGGTTTCAGCTGCTTAAACTTCAGCAGTACCCCAACGTACACTCAGGGATCCCCAAGCTTTGGCTCTTGCCAACCTGCGTCAAATTAGGTAAGAAGGGAACGTTCCTGTGGCGAGAGTGCATATTCCATTCCAGACAGGAATTTCCACATTTAGGTGGCATGGAACTCTGTCTGGCTTGAATACTCTTAAGCGTGGTGAATGGGTTTCCGCAGGTGTCAAGACACTCAGCTGACCAAAACATTTACACCTTCACTCTCGCATTATCAATATTCCTGCATATGTATTGTCATGTTACACTCACTCTCTTACTCTCACATTTTTAACGTCATAATTCCCACACTTGCACTGTCAGTGTCACTCCTGCTCTTGCACTACCACGATTCCCATACTTGGATTCACTAACACTGTCCCTAATCTTGCAATCTCACAGTTACTCTTCCATTTGACTGTCACTATTCCAACACTCGGACTGTCACTCCCACACCTGGTCATTCACCATTCCCAACACTCGTAGTATCACTATTCTCGCAGTTTCTGCCATTCCTATATTGATGGTGTCACTCCTGCAAAACCTCTGGTCTACACCAGGCTTTCACTCCCCCACCCTGAAATTGCTGCACTTGCACTGTCACTCCCACACACTCAATATCACTCCTACACTTGTTCGATCACTCCTACTCTCACATTGTTTTCTCATGTTCACCCACAAAACACACATTGATTATACTCTACATTGTATTCTTTGAGGCACTTTGGGACATTTTCCTAGCATGAAAGGCGCTGTAACATAATGTAAGGATCATTATTATTGTCACTCTTACTATCACTTTTGCATTCTACACTTGTATGGACACTCCAGCAATCGTAATGTGATTGTACTTACACTGTCTCTATTCCCAACACACAATAATGTCATTCTTGCACTCTCACATTGTCACTCTCACGCTTGTACTTAGACTCTCATAGTACAGATGACTAATTCTCTTGCGGTGACATGTGAAATTGCATAAATACTTTAGGAGCCTATTTTGGGTTGGGTGGTTTGTTTGTTTGCTGTTCCATTTTTGGACATTTGTTAGGAGCATCCACCCAGTATGGCACTTTGCAATATATACTCACAGGAGCAGCAATCATTTACACCACTTATGGGCGTTTTATGTAAATTGGAGACAGGGTGGGATAAGAACTGCTTATTTCTGAATTTCTAATCTTGAGTACTTTTAGAGAAACTGAAAGCTGCTTTAACCCCAATCCAGTTATTCAAAAGTTTTTTTTAAGTGGTACATTGCGCATTATCCTCAGTGGGCCAGACTCCAACTGTGTGTGTATAACTGCAGTCTGAGACAGAATTTAATGAGGTTTTCGTGTTGCCAAATACTATCATTTAGCCCAGAAAATATTTGCTGACCAGATATCTCCACGAAACCATACTGCTGGCAATGCACATCATCTCCTTATTGAAACACCTACTTATAGTGAAGTTAAATGTAACACGGATCCTGTTTGAAGTTCAAGTATCCAAAATTCACCGATTTAACCCTGTTGTTCAAGCTTCCACCATGCTTTGTGTTTTCATACATTTTAATTGAAGTTCCATAAAACTTGCAATACTTTCTCCCCTGAATGGATGCAGCACAGCACAAAACACATATTAGATTACAACAACAACAACAAGATTCCATTTATAAAGCGCCTTTCACGTCAGGAGGACGTCCCAAGGCGCTGAAATTACTCTGAGATTACTCAGATTTCCCACTTATCCAAAGTAGGGTGTTTCCTGATCTGTTCAGATAAATGGTGTCCCATCGTATTTAAGTAAAAGGATTAGCACTTGACTTGAAAATTGGTGGGACAGAGCCCCTGCAGGGTTAGTTATTATTTTGTTGCGTACGTAGGCTCACCTCACTCACCTCAAAATAGGTCCTTACATCAACAACATGTAACAATCTTACATCAACTTTCTAATGTCTTGGGCAATATTCCTCCTTCAATTAACTTTCTTTTAGTGAACCTGGTCATTTTATCTCATTGCTGATGAGAGGATGTTCCTGGACAAATTAGCTGTCATGTTTGTCTGCATAATAACAATCACTACACTTCAAAGTAGCTCATTGTGTGAATTGCTTTGAGATGTTTCAATCTGATGAACATACTAATCCTTGCATTTGATTTACTGTAGTTTATCTACACAGCAATTGGTTGCTGTGTAGATAAACACAGCAACCAATTTATCCATAATTATTTCCCACAAACAGCCACGAAGCAAATGATCAATTTCATCTGGAGGATTGTTGGCCAGGACACTGGGAGAAACTCAAATCCTTTTTTAAATAGTATCATGGGATCGTTAACATCCACCTGACCTCAGTTTAACGCCTCATCAAAAGACACCTCTTACAATGCAGCACTTCTCCCAGCGCTACGCTGGAGTGTCAAACTGAACTATGAGCTCAAAGTCCCAATTTGGGACTTAAATCCACAACCTTCTGACTCAGAGATGAGAATGCTGTCAACTTAGCTACCTAGGGCTTGACACCCAGGGACTGTTAGGATAGGGTACAACAGCAAATGCAACTATTAAAATAAATAATTATTGGTTTTGATATTGTACCTTTCACGTCAGGAGAACTTTTACTGTAGAGTGTAGTGACTGTATTTTGTAGGCAAACTTGGCAGGCAATTTGCCACAACAATGTCCCAAAAGCACCCATGAAGGGAATGACCAATTTTATCTGTGGGATTGCCAGCCAGAATACTGGAGAAACTCCCTTCTGTAGTATTATTAGTATTAAGTATTATTAGTAGTATTAAATCATACTTCCAGCATTAAATAAATTGAACATTTGAACATGAACTAGTTTTAAATTTGCAACCTGCTTTCTGTTCTTCTGTAGAGTTGATGTCCATTTTTACAAAAGGCTGTGCCAAAAATCAAGAGACCGTCTATAGGAATTTACATAGTGCCAGTGCACAGGAGACAGGAGACCTTTGACCTGTCCCACATGTTGCTGTGAGGGTTTTCTGCTACACAAAAGTAACTTCATATATCCTCGGTAGAAGTCTGACCTTTGGTAACATTAGTCATACCTGTTATATTGTGGGGGATGGGGCAGGAATCATGTTGCAGAAATCTGTGAAGTCTAGTCTGAGTAACTTTGTCTTGTTTTTCACAGTACAACTGTGTGTTTCCCCTTTACTCTTACTTTTAATCATACAACCAGATGTAGCTATGTTTTGACAGAAAACAAATAAAGGAACCTTTCGGTCTGAATTAAGATTATGTTCTATACAGCCTGAAACATTGTTCCAAATGTTCTTTAGTTCTTACCCCTATTCAGGCTGGAGATTATGTGGACGTTAAATGGATCGAGTCTTCTGGGGTATATTATTTCAATGCCACACAAGTTAATAATATTTAGTACTGTCATAGAGCATATTTTAAATAAACTGACATACATTGATTATAATGACATTTCTTAATGCACTAACAAATTAAATAAACATTGAAATGTGATGCGATAATGGCATCTTATAAAATCAAATATAATTAGTGGTTTGTGAGAATTTGGTTAATTTAGTATTATAGCTGGAATAATGGATATCTAGACCTTTGAAGGCAGCAAATTGATCAAGATTTTACATAATAATTTGAGAACATAACAAAGCATGGAATGAGAAAAAGCCATTAATTTCTTCCAGCCAAATCCATTACAGCCATGCAAACCTACCCTGTTATGGGCCTTATTCGCCACCCAGGGAAAGCATTTCATAGATACTGCCAGAACCATAATAATCAAGCAAAAACTCTTAAAATATTCAACCACAGTCTCCTTCCTTACACAGACAACATTTCACCGTCTCCCCACTCCAGCAGTACAAAAGTGGAAATGCAAAAGGAAATATAATTGAAATAAAGAGTTGCTTTATTAGACCCAATGCAGAACAGCTTGATGGGCACATTGACCTACATCTGTTACTATGATCCTAAATTATTGTGTCTTGTTGAGTATTTGTTGATCTTAAATAGATCTTCAAGGAGCTGTTTATCCAGTTTTCTTTTTGCAGAAGTTAAATGGTGCAACTATCAACTGCTTTTGTTGGGAGTCCACTCCACTTATCCACCCTATAAGGGAAAAACGTGCTTCTAAAATCTAACCTTGCTTGTTTTTTTTCCCCTTTAAACCTATGTCCATAGTTATGCTCTCATCGGCTAGGTCAAATAAGCTGGTTACATCTGCATTAGTTGTGGTCACTCAATCCACGACTGTTTGTGGGACACTGCTGTGCGCAATTGGCTGCCGCGTTTCACCCACAAAATATACAGTCAATTCACTTTCCAGTATATTCTGTGAATTGCTTTGAGACATCTCAACTACGTGCTATATCGAATGCAAGGATTACTGGGTCTTCCAATGAACATTGATAGTATCATGAATAACTTTCGCAATTATTTTCCTGACTACAGATATGAAACTAAATTGATGTATAATCTGCTCATTGCTGACTTTTTGTGGTTAATGGGGTAACATTTCTTCCTTGCTTTATTGCTACATATTTCTACTCAAATTATTTGAGCTGAGTCTCCTTCAGTGGTTGCATCTCCCTTTCAACAGTTAATAAGGGCGACCTCTTTTATACTGTGTTGTAATGGATCTGCAAAAATGATGGCTGGACATTCCGCGCTGGTAGCTGAAATTACAGGTCCACAGGACATCTGCATTATAAACCACCATACTCTCCAGTGAAATGCCTTAAACAAGGTTTCCCTGTATATTCTTCTTTACCAATTATTTAATTTATTGGGCCTGCAAAATATTTTATACCCACTTAGCTCCATCTCATGGCCATCTTCCTCTCTCAGATATGTTTCTGGGATGTTGATAATGTCAATATTTTCTCTGGCTGCCCATACCTCAAATTCCAAAAGTGGATTCTGTCACTCCTTGTATTAACATAAAAAAGTTTATAGTGTTATAAATTGAAGAAACAAATCTTGAACAGTTTATAAACCATGGACCATGTGATTAGATTAATCCTTCAACTGCCTTATTAGTGTCTGATTTCATAGGATATATAACATTTAAAATCTTAAGTTTACAGGTTCTGTTTTTGCTATTATCATGAGTGACAATGGCTCAGTGGTATATATATATATATATATATATATATAAGCTGTATCCATTGTAGCTACTCTTGCAATCAAAGGATACAATATGGAATGTAGATTGACACACACACAGACTTTCATGTTTATCTATACTCATCTGGGAGGCTCCTGTGGGAGGACTCATTTTGGCTGCGCTGTTGCCGTCCTTTCAGCATTGAAGTGCAGCCGTGCTGTTCTTTGTTCTTCAGTTTAGTTTAATGCGCCTTCTCTCCTATCTCTAGGATTTTTACTTATCCTTGAAAAGTTTGATTTTCGCTAAGGCATCTTTATATTGATAAATATAAATGTATAATTTATAATCACAAGGAAGTCCTCTCGACATGAAAGGCGCTTTAAAAAAATAATTTTGTTGTTGTTGTCGCAGCTTAGCTTTGTCTGTGTTCTTTATTTTGTTCCCACCGCCGCTTGGCTACGTGCGTGCTCTGTAATGCAGGCTGCTACAGCGCCACAGTCAGCCGACTGGGCCACCAGGTGTAACTGCATGATGCTACAGCGCCACTTTGACTCGGCGGCCACCAGGTGTAACTACAGCAAAAAACACAAAACTGAAATACAATTTAGGTCATAACTCATGAACGATAGGAGATACCCGAAAACAATCTGCCCGTGTCACTCCCAAATGCAAAACCTTTCCGATGAGGTATAAATCATGTCGCTACATCAATCGGTTATTAAGATTCTTCTTGAAGCGCACACAGACAGACAGACATTGTCGTTTTATTAGTAGATATATATATACAGTGCTGTCTGCAAGAGAGTAATGGTCACTTTTTTGACTATGTTGCTAAGCGTTACTGCACTTGGGAATAATATGCTGTAGATATCCACATATAAAATATCCTTGTATGAATATATTTTAAATCAATCTGTATGAATTAAGAGGAACAAGATAGGAAATAATAGACGATATTCCAAATGTCAGCATTTGCTTCTTCTGCCAAGTGTATCTGTCAAGATTTAACGCTTGCTACAATGCTACAATTTCTCTTTTCCTGCAAGTTAACTTGGAGATGTAACTCCTATGTTGCTCTTTGAGGATACAAGTTGTTCTTTCAAACATTGAAATTCTTCATTCCATCACAGTTCTGGACGTGGAACTTGCCTGGACAATGAGCCACCGAAGCGTGATTTTCTTTATCCAACTGTAGCACCGGGCCAGGTGTATGATGCTGACGAACAGTGTCGGTTCCAGTATGGCACCACTTCACGCCAATGCAAATATGGGGTAAGACATCAACATCCTAATATGTGTCTTGTACAACTAATCTAGCTGGTAATAGCCTGCTCCCCCTTTCCTGTGTGAGCATGCATTTCTATGTACAGAAGTGTGACTGGTTTTCAATAAGGGCAGGTCCATAATACTCCCTCCCTTGTGCACTATATATTTTGTGATTAATGCTTCAATAAGCATATTAATCCTGGCTTCACGATCATGCTTGTCGGACACTGCTGTGCGCAATTGGCTGCCCCATTTCGCCCACAAAATATCGTCAATTCACTTTACAGTATATTCTATGATGTGCTTTGAGGCATCTTGCAGATGTGATAAGGTGCTATATCAAATGCAATAATATAATTAATATTATTAATTTTATTATTAATCTGTTACTGTAAAGCACTCTGAGACGCCATCCAGTGTGGAGGGCACTATATAAATTCAAGATGTTGTTGTTGTTGCCATTATGTCACTGTCAGTCAAATGAGGAAATGGGCGTAGGAGAAAAACATGAAGGTAATTACTCTTCCACCAATTTTATTTGAAACAAGTTATAGATATAGCCTGACTTTAGTTCTGCAAGGGCATGAGCAATCCTGAAGATGACGAGTTGCTAAACCTTTCCCATTGCTGCCATTGCATTGGCTGCCAGAAGTTGTGTACAGGAGCCACTAAGAGGAAATCTAAAGTGTTCTTGTTTCTTCCATGCACAAAGCGAATTTGCCATAACTTGAATGCTTCATCAGCAGCACAGGGAAATCATGGACATGAGTTGACCTCCTAACACTTTATATCCAATAATTATTTTGTTTAAAAAGTGAGGACTTGGCAGAGTCTGTCAGCGTAGAGACTAAAGTTTACTTTTATTTTAACATCTGTTTCTTCTTTGGCAGATTGGGTCTACAAAGGGTGGTTCTGCACAGATAAAACCTTCACAAAGACGGTCTTATCTTCACACAGAACCAGGACCCCATTTGCGCTCTCCAGAAGGGAGGCGTTTTACAATACAGAGGATAATACGCACTCTTATCACTTACAGATTGTATAGTTCTCTCCTGTTTCTCGTGCATAAAACCACATTTCAAAGACTTTAAATATTTGCCCACAAAACACACAGCCACGGCACACACTTGGCAGGTACAATACAAAATTACATTTGTATAGCGCTTTTCACATCGAGAGATGAAGCAGTCATTGCACTTTATAGTATATCCTATGAGGCGCTTTGGGACGTCCTCCTGATGTGAAAGGCATTATTCCAAGTGTATGGATTATTATTAATATTTAAAGTAGCGTAGTAGTATGAACTACTGTAGTACAGGGCTCTGGAGTGAAAAACTATGATCAAATAGATTGATTTAGTAGTTGTTTCTGTTGTGTGTTTTCAATGTAGTTTATAGAATGCAAGTACAATTGCTGACGCACATTGATTCTCATTGTGCTTTTAACATAGTTTTTGTAAATTCTCTTGCCTTTTTCTGCCCTGACCTTTGTCTCGCTCTCTCTCCTTTGCTGTGGAGGTTCAATGACTGTTTGAGAGGGGTGTAAAAGAGCACCTCCATAGTCCCTGGCCACCTGCTTTCAGAGCTCCGAGATGCCACCCTGTGTGAAGGGAACGTTATAAATTCATGTTATTGTTGCTTCCTCTGGCTCCCACGGATCAGAGCCAAATGATAACCCATTCTGTGGCACAATCATTTGGACTTCCAACCACCTTCCCACTGCCCTCTCATTGTAGTGTATCTTGTTATAAAGCTGAATATTATTAACGTTCAAACAGCAGAAACACAAGTTTAAAAATTGAAATTTAGGAATAAAAAGGGAAGGTGGGTGGAAACAGTTTTACACAAAGAGTAACAGACAGTTCCTGGAGAAGGACAATATTGTGCACAATATTGATGGTTCAAAGGGTAACAGGATATCTTTCTGGAGAGAGAAGGGATGGAGGGGTATGGTGAGAAAGCTGGAAGGTAGGGTTCAAAACCTTATTAAAAAGGTTCAGATTTGTACAAACTGATGGCCTGTTTAGTGTTCCAATAATTTGTTGCTTACACAAATGGAAATGATGTAAACTATAAGGGTGACATTTTTCTGTGGCCATTGTTGATGCTGGCCAATGTTTACTAGGTCTCGGCTCAGTAAATCTGCTTTCCCCTGAGTGACCCAGCAGGCAGTGATAGCTCACCACCCCTGTGAGTATGTCATGTTAATTGGGGTCAGTGTCTGGAAATGTAAGTCTTCACTTGCTTTTTGTCTGTTCAAAGCAGGTGTGGTGATAAGGACTGAACAAAGCAGCACTTTATCACTCACTGCTCACCCAGTAATTTGTTGTCCAGTTGCTTTTCTGCTCCTGGCAATGGCTGGAGTCAATCCTTGGCTGGCCAACCATTCATTCATTGTTTCCTGCATTGTTTTAAAATCCAGATTAACAGCAGCATGCTGCTCAGATCCTTGTTTTGGATCAGTTGTTACTGCCCAAATGCATTAGATGTTAAATGGTTGGGGGATTTGCTTTACTTTCAAGTGGGACTCTTTAATTTAGAAGAATTATCGACCCACGAGAACTCCGATTGTGTCTGTTGAGCTGTAACGTTAGAATTGTTTGGTGGTGCACATTCACGTGAGGTGTCTACGATCAGTATTTTAATGGGACTGAATGGTGAGGTAAGTACAAGATCCAGGTAGAGCGAGCGAGAAAGAGAGAGACACACGCACAAGGCAGAGAGACACACAAACATAAAAACACAAAGATCTATCATCTACACTGTTTTCAAATTCACACTAGTTCTCGTCCCCATCAGTGTGTATATCAGACTCTACTGTATCCATTATTGTTTCTGCGAAGGAGATATTGGTGATATGGTGGAATATTTATTCATGCCTAGAATTCCCCACACAGTGAGTTCTCAATCTGGATTATGCTGTGAGGGGCAGACACACCAAGCATAGGTTAGGAAGGGAAAGTCACAAAGCATTTATCTTAATCCATACTAAGATTCATCTTCTATCACACGCTTGAGAGTCAGCTGCTTTTCTCTTGGATCAGGAATGTTACATTTGTTCATAGGGATGACAAAGAAACATGAGGGAAGAAAAAAGATTACAGAAATAGAATGGAATAAATTACTGCAGAGCATTTGTTTCTTCTGCAGCAATTGATGTGTTGAGTTCATCTGCAGTATCGGGTTTATTTAATCCCTGTGTTCAAGTCAAAGAGGTTTTTCAGGCCTAGGTCACTGGAAATAACTGCAAATTCATTGATGGCTGTCAGTACGACTATAAATATTCGTGTAAAGTTTGAGATGCTGCAGACAGACAGTGCAGTGGTCTTCATGGTGTTGTAATTGAATTACTATTGTAAAAATAGCCTGGAGCATTTATCACATTCAATCCAGAATAAAACTGGATAGTATAAATGGTATGAAGAGCTTTTTGCAGCTTTGCCATGTCTTGAGATAGAAGTGTGGGCAAAGCCAGAACAGTAATCTATCCCCACTCCAATTCCCCATCTGAATTACTGAAATATTCATTGTATATGTTAAGATGATACTCATCCAGTACATTTGTGCAGGACTGAAATTCAATACAATACAAAATTACATTTTGAAAGCGCCTTTCACGTCGGGAGGACGTCCCGAGGTGCTAAACAGTCAGGGATTAGGACCCGATTGGGGGGATGGGGGGGGGTGTTGGGATCAGGGAGGGTGGAGAGCAGGGAGGGTGGCCGAAGTCACGCTCAAAGAGGAGGGTCTTGAGGCATGCCTTGAAGGAGACGAGGGAGCGAGGCGAAGGGAATGTGGGATGGAGTTACGGAGCATGGGGGCTGAAGGCCCGACCACCAGTGGTGGGGTGGGCTGGGCAAGGGATATATAAACAACAAAATTACATTTATAGAGCGCCTTTCATGTTGGGAGGACGTCCCAAGGCTGGAGCCTGCTGAGTGAATGGAGTGGACAGGTTAATAAGGGGTTATCAGGTCGGAGAGGTAGGAGTGGGTAAGGCCATGGAGGACCTTGAAGATGAGGATGAGAATTTTGAACTCGATCCTCTGAGGAATGGGGAGCCAGTGGAGCCGGGCGAGGCTGCGTGTGATGAGGTCACGGATCTTGTGCGGGAGGGGACAGGAGCTGCAGAGTTTTGGATGACCTGCAGCTTGTAGAGGGAAGAATTGGGAAGGTCGACAAGCAGGGAGTTGACATAGTCGAGCCTTGAGATGACGAATGAGGGTTTTGACGGCCTGAGGGGTGAGGCAGTGACGGAGCTGGGCAATGTTGCGGTGGTGGGGGAAGGCAGAGCGGGTCATGGCATGGATGTGGGGGAGAAAGGACAGTTGAGGTTCAAACAAAACGCCTAGTTCCTGACTGGCTTGATGAGATGGAGTGTGCATGAATGCTGATGCTGCCAGTGCCTGAGGTACGGAGGTGCTGGGGTCGGCCAATCAGGGGAGCCTCAGTCTTGCTGATGTTCAATTGTAGAAAGTTGGCTCTCATCCAGAGCTTGATGTCCGACAGACATTCAGTCAGGATAGCAGAGGTCCTGGAGTCAAGGGTGGAGGCAGAGAGATAGAGATGGGTGTCATCCGCATACATGTGGAAGTTGACCCCATGTCTGTGGATGATGTCACCAAGAGTGAGCATATACAGGTTGAAGAAGAGGGGAACGAGGACAGAGCCCTGAGGAACACCACACAAGACTGTGCGGGGGCTAGAGGAGAAGCCGTTTGTGGAGACAAAGGTGAAATGGATGTGTTCTCAGCCTGGCTTGTTTTGGTTCGACATGTTTAGCTCTACAATAATACAGGATAGGGTAACTATTTTTGTAAAAGAATATTACTGAATGCAGGTTATGATACTTTTTTTATGCCAAAAGCTACAATATTTTTAGCTTCTTGATTCGCTAAGCTTGTATTGTGTATGCCATGGATATTTTTATAGTCTTTCAGGCGTCCTCCTGATGTGAAAGGAGCTATATAAATGCAATTTGTTACTGTTGTTGTTTCAATGAATTTATTACCTGATTCACGCTAACTTTTTGAAATGGGACACAGAGTGGGACGCATGAGGCCACTTTTTTTAAAAAAAGGCCTTATGACTTTATTCTGATCAACTTGCTTCTGCATTCTTTCCTAGGAAGTGTGTAGAGAGCTCTGGTGCCTCAGCAAAAGTAATCGCTGTGTGACCAACAGTATCCCTGCTGCTGAGGGTACCCTGTGCCAGACTGGAACCATTGAAAAAGGGGTAAGGAATCTTTTCAGACATATTTTGTTCACTCAGAATTTTGACAGAAAAGTTTGCAAGAGTAAGTGGAACACATCAAACTCCACTGACCTAAACAGAGGATTTGACTGATTCACAGTATGTCAGCCTAAATGGTTAAAATGTATATGCGAGACCGAGTGCCTGTTGAGATTTCTACCTGGAGTGACTGCTTAATCTCACTTGATCTCCCTCTGAATAATGATTGGGATAAATGTTTGAACTGCTCTGAAGTACTCACAGTAGGGCAGCGTTGATTACAGTTAACAGGCTGCACGTACCCACACTGTTTAAAGATACAGAAAGCAACTAATGAGGTGATATAAGACACCACAGATGCAAGCCTGGTAGTCCTGTTGCCAGGCAATCTTTAAGATATGGCAGGATAAGGATTCTTCGGTGACCTCAGGCGACTTCAGGCCCACAATTGGAGAAGTGAATGCGCAAAGCTACAGTTTTCACATTACACGTTTTACTCCACACTCGATTCAATCCAGCGAAAGGTTCACAATGTAAAGCAGTCCATTAAGCTCTACTTGTCTTAAGGTTGAACTGAAAGTAGAACCTAGACAACAGTTACACACACTTTTTTTCTCTCCCTCTCCTTCTCCCCTGCAAAGCTCCCAGCATTAATCAGTGCTTGCAACGTGAATAAAAAAAAGTTTGAAGTTGGGAAGTTTGGATTTCCACCTTCCTTTTCACATTTAATAACCATGTACAGGATGAGGAAAAAGTCATGATACCATTACAATATCTCATAATTGTCTTGAAGAAATGCTGATTTTTTAAAGATAATAGGGAAGATATGACTTTTTGGTCATTGTAGAATGGTGGAACAGAGCAGAAGGGAGCTGAGGTTTTGATTCAGTTTAGACCAAATTAAATCAGGAATCTCAGATCATCAAGTCATCTCAGCTCTAGCTCTTATATCCAGCTATAATATGTGAGTTCATAATTGGCTGGTGACTTGTCTTTTTTGAAACTAATTGTGGGTGTCTTTGTCCAAGTTAGGATATTCCCACGTATAAACATTATGTTGTTCATTCTTTCCCACCCACCTCTCTCACTGGTCAAACTTCATACTTTAGCAGAATTTCCTGCTACATTTTCTTTTTTTCTCTCACCATCTTTATCTCCTTCAGATTTTATTTCCTTCTCTCCTGGAGGAGTTTAACTCCACTTGTCTTCTAATGGAATATAGTTAAATGCAAACCATCTTCCCTTCAAGTCGTGAGCCAAGTGCCCTATTAGTCATGTGTGAGCTTTTGACAGTGAATTTTTGGCAGGCTATTTGGCCAGGATCCGTAATGAAGATGAGTTGGTGCCAAAGCAAGGACACGTGTGATTCTGCATACTCGCAAGAACCTTTTGTGTCATCTTGTAGATGTGCAATGACATCAGAACAGTAGAACTGCAGAAGGATGGCTTTTAAATGAAGACAGAATTTAAAGAATGTTTTAATCTTACATTTAAGACTATAAATTCTTATAGTCTGTTATAGATGGTCGGTGCTTAGTATATACATCATCTCCTTTGTAACCAAGTATCCTTACCTTTTGTTGGAGTAAAATTGTCATGCACACAGATAATACATATCATGAATCATAAATGATATGAGATGCATTCTATTAAAATACTGTCAAAATCTTGTAACATGAAAGGAATGCAGATACATGTACACACATGGACTTCCATTTTCACCAGCTTGTCTAGCAGCCTCTCCAAACTCTTCTCTCTGGTTGATAGTTTCCTTTGCAACAGTTAGTAAATCCACTTCTGTGAATTCTCGAGTACTTTTTAGATGCCATTACAGAATCAGAATCAGAAATTTGAATGGCATATGTGGTACTATGCATAACTGATCCCAGTTTATTAATAATAATCTTTCATTTGATATTGTGCCTTATCACATCGTTGAGACGTCTCAAAGTGCTTCATACACTGTAGAATACACTGGAAAGTATTTAGACTGTATTTTATGGGCAAAACTTTAAGTGACTTTGAGATGCTATCCCATGTGAAGGGCACTGTATAAATGCAAGTTGTTATTAATCTTTATAACAATGAACAGTGGCGAGTTTCAATTGGTGGCTGCCAATTCCACTGGTGGTACACACTGCTGGATATGTCGGTAACCCTAGGACACCGACTTAAAATATTTGTTAAAAGAAACAGAGGGGAGGTGAGGAGAAATTTTACTCAGATCTGAAATGCATTGCCTGAAAGGGTGGTGGAAGCCGATTCGATAACCACTTTTAAGAGAGAAGTCGATAATTATTTGGGGAGGACAAGTTTGCAGGGCTATGGGGAGAGCGCAGGGGAGTGGGATTGAATTGGATAGCTCTTTTCAAAGAGCTGGCACAGACATGATGGGCCGAATGGCCTCCTTCTGTGCTGTATAATTCTATGATTCTATGAATAGTGATGGACTATGCTCCTTCATGTTTTGTTATTAGATGAAATTAAACAAAGAATGTTAGCAATAAGTGAAAACGTTAGTCTGTTGGAAGAATTTATGAAGTACATATTGTTTCTGTGTGTCCATTGCTTCAGTGTGTATCCATTGCGCCCAGGTGCAATTGTACTTTTTCTAGACTCTTGGGGGCATTATACCTAATGGTGTTATTAGGATTCCATGGTAATTTTGTCAATTGAACAAGTACAAGAGAGATCAAGAAGCTAGAGAGATTTAGAGAGAGGAGTGAGAAGAGAGGAGGGCAGGCTGGCACATCTGATGTCGTGACAGACGTAGGGAATATATTAAATTGTTTTAAATTTTAGAAAGCATGTCATCCACTGTTATTAAAGTAATTTTAATGTACTATAATATTGTTCTAAAATTATAATTTTGATTGCTCTATAATTACTATATTGCACTTGTTACTTTTTCCCAAATATAACTATAATAATGTGTTCTTTATTCAACAACAAAATTACATTTATAGAGCGCCTTTCATGTTGGGAGGACGTCCCAAAGTGCTGAACAGTCAGGTGTCGGGGCCCGGGCATGGGGGAGGGTTGGTGTAGGGGTGAGGGAAGGCAGGGAAGTGGGAGGGAGACCAAAGGCACGGTCGAAGAGAAGGATCTTGAGACCGGCCTTGAAGGAGGCAAGGGAGGAAGCGAGGCGAAGGGACCGTAGGATGGAGTTCCAGAGTGCAGGGGCAGAGAGGCTGAAAGCCCGGCCACTAATGGTAGGGTGGGTCGGGGGGAGACATGGAGCAAACCGGAGCACGATGAACAGAGGGAGCAGGCAGCTTGGTAGGGAGTCAGCAGGCCAGAGAGGTTGGAGGGGGCAAGGCCATGGATGGTCTTGAAAGTGAGGACGAGGATCTTGAACTCGATCCTCTGGGAGATGGGGAGCCAATGGAGTCGGGCGAGGGTGGGAGTGATGGGGTCACGGAGCCTGGTGCATGAGAGTACACGAGCTGCAGAGTTTTGAATGATCTGCAGCTTGTGAAGGGAAGACTTGGGAAGGCCGATGAGAAGGGAGTTCCTGTAGTTGAGCCTTGATGTGACGAATGCATGGATGAGGGTTTCGGCAGCCTGAGGGGTGAGGCAGTGAAGGAGTCTGGCAATGTTGCGGAGATGGGGTAGGAAGTGGCGGTCATGGTGCGAATGTGGGGGAGAAAGGACAGTTCAGAAGAACACAGTACATAATATGGGTGATTCACAAAAAGCTGGTGCTGAAGCTTCTTGATTTCTACCTTTCTTTGTGGTGGAGAAAGTGATGACGAAGGTCTATTATGCAATTTGTGTAAAGGTTGTGTAAAAACATGTGTATGGGAAGAAATCACAGGTGGCCTAACTATGTAATTAACATCCAATGTAAAAGATTACAGAATCCTTTTCACCGGTTCTTAATCTTTAACCCTTTTCCTTAGTTTTTAAATGACACAGTTAAGGGCACTTCCAGTTCCCTCTGTACACATGTGTTTACACACCTTACATAATAGACTCGGAGTGCAAAACAACTGTCATTTAAATGTGTTTATTTGAGTTCACAGATGACAGTGAAATGCAGGCACATTTGACTAGCAGAATAAAAAGCATAAATGACTATTTATAGGTGTCAGATTAACTGTTTTGGTTGTCCTGACTCCCAATTTTTTTGAAGATTTAGATTTAATAGATATAATTAATAAGCAAACGTCATCTGAGCTTTGTGAAGCACTAAGAAGATTTGGGTTGTCAGGAAGATATCTTTGCCACATAAGCTTCCCAACATCACAGAGCTTCAACAGAGAAACACAGGCATTCTTTGCTGTTGTTAACTTTCCCAGTATCTTGAATTTGATGATTCCCAGGAACCCATTTGTGCATGTTGAGAATGTTTGTGTCTACAGTAATAGTAAAGGTTTCCTTTTTATTAATGTGCAGGCAGAATATAAAGCCTGGAATATCATCACAGTTGTGCTTGTTAATTGCCTTGGCAGCACCCAGGACTCTTATTTTTGCTAGTTTCTGCAGGAAGTTTATGGAAGGAGAATTGACTGCTAGGAAATTTATAAACCTGCAGGAAGTTTATGGAAGGAGAATTGACTGCTTGGAATTTTATTGATCGTACTGTCTCAGATCCGTTCCTATTAATTAAATTCTGTCTTTGGGGCTCTAGCGTAAAATCTTATAAGTAATGTTTCATGCAGAATATAATTTATTCTAATGACTGAAATAATGATTTTCTTCACTACACATTTGATAATAGAAATTTAGGGATCAGTGTAAATGATACCTCAATATTAGATTTGTAATCTTAAGTGGCACATGGGAATCGGGAGTCAGTCCTGGCTCAGTCTCAACAACTAGAAAAAGGTTTGCAATGAGAAGTTTGCTACATTGGCTGAAGTAGATGTGTGTCATGGGAGCAAGATCATTTGTGACTGCTATTACTTTTTGAGGCTCAATTTCTGCACACACTTGCCTGTAAGGTACTTTGGTAAATCCTCCTACGTTAAATGTAACGTCAACTATAGCTATAAAATAAGGCACACAGGTATAACACGCTTTCATTTAATCAAATTTTACAAGGTGGATGTAGAAATAGTCTGTGAAAATACTAATGTTGTATGTAATCACATTATTCCATCAAGCAAAATTCAGGTCTCGACTAAAAATGCTTTAAAGAGTACATGCTGCTGATTTGAAAAATACCAGTGTGTTATTTTTTATCCGAGAAAGATTGTACTTGTTTGGTCTCCAATAAAACAAAGACAGTTACTCAGGTCAGGAAGGCAACATTTTCAACATATGGTTTATTTTTTACTGATGTGAAGGGCTGATAGCAAAGATAGTAGTGTACCAATGAGACAATCACATGTTTATTCAGAATTAAAATAGTTTCAATTAAAGGAGCCTTCAACAATGTTATATTCTTTACTCAGGTTCAATGTACAGACATAATGAGCATAACATATTGCACATACAAATGAAAGAGTGTTGCTCAATAATAATAATAATCGCATTTGATATAGCGCTTTTCACATCTTCTAGACGTCTCAAAGCGCTTCACAGAATAGACTGTAAAATGAATTGACTGTATACGTGTGGGCGAAATGCGGCAGCGAATTGTGCACAGCAGTGTCCCACAAACAGTCATGGATTGAAATGACCAGTTTATTATTGTTTTTTTGAGGGATTATTATTAGGCGTGTGGAGTAAGGAATCTTGCCCAAGGTTTCACCTGCCGGGAATTGAACCCAGGTCTCTCGCTTGCAAAGCGAGCGCTCTAACCACTGAGCTACAGGACTCCACAGTCAGCAGTCGGGAATATGACTATTAATAGGTTAAATAAGACAAGCAATTTCGCCCACAAACTATATACCGTCAATTCAATTTACAGTATGTTCTATGGAGTACTTTGAGATGTTTTGAAGACATGATAAGGCGCTATATCAAATGCAAGGATTATTATTATATTATTAAGTGATATCTGGTGCCCGCTAAAGTACACATTTTTCAGGATAAGGAATGCTAATGCTTCGAGTTAGCTTTGCCATGCAATGCTAACTATAAAAGGGGTAAGGAACCTTTTCAGACATATTTTGAATATTCACAGAGTTTTGCCAGAAAAGTTTGCAAGAGTAAGTGGAGCACATCAAACTCCACTGACTTAAACAGAGGATTTGACTGATTCATAGTATGTCAGCCTAAATGGTTATAAATGTGTGTTAGACTGATTCTCTAATTCATTGAATAGCTAATTCTCTGTTTTCTGGTCTCTTGCAGTGGTGTTATCAAGGAGAGTGTGTGCCTTTCGGTACTTGGCCTCAGAGTGTGGATGGGGCCTGGGGACCATGGTCTATATGGGGAGAATGCAGTAGGACATGTGGGGGAGGAGTCTCCTCATCCCTAAGGCACTGTGACAGTCCAGCGTAAGTAGCTAAAGTAAGCCAGAGCAACAAGACACCTTTGAACACAACACATTTTTATCTCAGAAAGGGATACGGAAGATGGTATAGAAGAATAGGAAAGATTATGTTAATATTCTTTAACTGGGATCTAGCACCTCTGAATAGTGCTGTCTCTTTATGTCATATTGGTGGTTACAGAAATAGTTAGCAACATGACTTAGATATTCAACAACTGCTGTTTTAACAGTGAAAGCAGCCTCCTTGAGTAAGGAACTGTCATTATTCAGTAACCCTTTTTTCTAAATCGATGTGACTATTGTTTCCCTGAGGGAATATTTAAATACTTGTAATACCATCTCTAACCTGTTGAACGAGACAGGCAACAGTTCTCCACATTTAAAATATTTCCATTAAAAAAAGTCTCACTACACAGGCAGCAACAGATATTGCTTCAGTTAGAGACGTTCCCTGCATTCACTCCAGGGAGCAGTGTACACATGCTCGTGATACACATCAGTGACATGCTAATAGACATGCTAGTGACACGCTGACACAGGCCAGTGACACACTGTGACATGTGCCAGTGACAAACTGATGCACATGTCAGTGACATCTGATCCATGACAGTAACATACTGACACACTTGTCAGTGCCCACTAACACACACGATGATACACAAGCTAGTGACACCAATGACCACTGACATGCACTCTAGTGACCACTGACACATGCCAGTGTCACACTGACACACACCAGTGTCACACAGAGCCACCACAAGCATAAATTGACAGTATAGGCACGACATAATATTATAATAGTCTTCTATCTTCCTGGAAAGTAAATTCTTGATTATCCCTCATTTTTCTATTTTTACAAGCTTTTAAAACAGAATGCTTGCATAATCGAATGCTGCGTGCTATTTACTGGGATACAGGAAACCTTTTATTAACGAGCAGACTGTGGAACTCACTCCCATATGTGCTATTAACTTATGAAACATTTTCTGTATCCTGCACATGTATATTTCTTCTGCACCTATATAGTTCTTGGTCTCTGTAAATTGCATAATACATTGCTGTGGTACATGTATGAATAACTTATAGAAACCAGACAATCTTTTACTTTATGTAATTTCTAATAGTGCTAGGTAGAATGTTCAAATGAAGATTAATGTACTCACGTCTTCAAGTTTAGAAACCCTCCTTATTTTCAAGCCAAGATTTCTAGTTTTAATCATTTTTCATTTTGCCGTCATCGCAATTAGTGTGAAATGCAGAAAAATGACCTAGTAGCATTTTATAAAGTTTGTAACAATACAATAAAAAAATTACATTTATATAGCGCTTTTCACATTGGGAGGATGTCCCAAGACACTAGGACAGTCCAGGGTTTCCATCCGAGCTGGAGATAGGGCAAGGGGGTGAGGGGAGAGGGCAGAAAGGTGAGGCAGATAGATGGCCTGAAGCACGGAAGGTCAAAGAGGAAGTTCTTGAAGGAGACAGGGAGTTCCAGAGTATGGAACAGAGCAGATACATTGAAAGTCTGACCCCGATGATGGGGCAAGGGATGAGAAGCAGGCCGCTGAGAGAGGGAGCGGACGGGCATGGTAGGGTTTGAGGAGATGGCAGAGGTAATATGGGGCAAGACCATGGAGGGATTTAAAGGTTAACTATGTGAAGTGCAGATAAATTACCTAATAGAATTTCATAAAATCTATTACACCAACAACTTGCATTTATATGGTGACCGTCACACGGGGCAGGGTCTCAGAGCACTTAACAGTGGCAGAGTCTGACCACGAACTGGGGGAGGGTGGAAGTGACCATAAACTCGGTCAAAGAGGAAGGTCTTCAGTCGTAATTTAAAAGAAGGGAAGGAGGTGCAAGTTGGAGGGATTGGAGGAGAGAGTTCCAAAGCTTTGGAGTGTAGTGGAGGGAATGAAGGACAAGCAGGAGACCAGAGCCAGCTGAGCAGAGGCAGCAGGTAGTGGAGTGGAGAGAAAGCAGGTCAGATAATATAACACTATGTATCGTCCAGATATATGAGCCAATAGCATTTTATAATGTGTATAACACTATGTGAAATGCAGATAAATAACAATTTGTAAAGTTTTATTCACTTCCAGTACTTGTTATTTTAGTGTTTCTCCTTGCAGCATTTCTGGCTTATCTGAAAGGTCAGAGTTGAAAAGTTTTCTGAGTACAGCACTGTAAATCCTCTGGGTGTTTTGCTTTAGTTATTTAAGTATCGCTTTGCCTACAAAATACACAGTCACGTTCATGTGAAGCACTTTGAGATGTGAAAGGCGCAGTATCAATTGCGAGGATCATTATCACTTACTGATGAAGTAGCTGGCCTCTCTGTTTATTGCCTTTTGTTAGAAAATAAAGTTATCACTAAGATGGCGGGGGAGTGACAGAAACCCAGGTTCAGTAACACTAAACCTAATCCCGCCATAGAGAATACGCTCAGCAGTTTGGAAAGGGAATTATTAATTACAGCTTCAAAAAAGATTTTAAAAAGCTAAGCTTGAGGCAATAGAACAAGACAGAGTGGAGTTGGAAAACATTCACATGGCCAAATAAGACTGTCAGGGAAGAGACTTGGTTTATCTCAAATATGTACTGAGCATCCTGCTGTCTGCCACAGCAGAATTTGCATTCTGTAGGATGAGACAAAGATATTTTCTGCAGGGATAACGTAGCAAAGAAATTGCGAGCTTACCTACATTATTGCTGAACTTTACTGCTATTTTTATGGATCAAAAAGGCAATATCCTCCAGCTAGCTTGTGAGGAATATTATAAAACTGTTTTCAATCTTTCTAGGCTTTTTTGATCGACTCAAAAATATTTTTTTCCCATACAGTTTTCAACCTTTTCAATTCAATATGTTTTTTTTGTGTGGTAGAAAGTATCACATATCTTCTGTAACTATTCACCTAGGTGACAGAAATCACCTACTGTTTTTTTAAAAAAAACACGTTCTAAGTAATTATTTTAAGAAAAAGTTTGACCTGGTTGGGTTGTATTGTGCAGATGTTAACAAATATTATTTATTTTATATGCAGCTAACGTTGAGAGAATGGGATACTATTTCTTTAATCATTCATTTTTCTAAACCCGTAAACCAGGCCTTCTGGTGGTGGGAAGTACTGCCTTGGAGAAAGGAAACGCTATCGCTCCTGTAACACTGACGTAAGTAACATCTTTAAAGGCTAATGTTATCTGGATTTATTTACTTTACCCACTTCAGAACTTATAAGGGCAAATGCTGACCAGAAGTAGCACCCTACTTCACCCCCCACAGAGGGAATATTCTGCAAAGAAATGTTTGCTTATTTATTCTCACCAGCCAATTATAGTCTATTTTCCATTCCAACTCTCTCATTTAAAATCCCAACCCATCATAGCTTTACATACTCGATGCACAAGTATAACATATCAGTGCATTAAGTGCTGACTGGACATAATAAAAGCTGACTCTTCCTGTTAAGTTAATGCATGTTTGCTAAAGCTTCTAAAAGTTAATTTAAAGAAACCGAAAGCTACATTCAATTAAACTGACCAATGTATAATATCTGCGATACAAATTGGTAATAGCCAGATAAATTTGGATAGATTGAAATGTCTCAGGCTGGATTAATTTCACTTTTAATGAATTTTAATTATGAAATTGCTTTTCTTATCCCTACTTTGCCCATAAAATACACAGTCACTACACTTTTCAATAAATCCTGTTAGCATTTTGAGACGTCTTGATGACGTGATATGGCACTGTATCAAATGCAAAGATTATTATTATTTTATGATTATTTTGAACATTTCTTACAATATTTTATCAAATACTCACACATATTGTGGTACTAGACTAGAGAGCACTAGTGTAAAGCATTCTATAAAATGTCACCTTCCAGAAAGTAACATTTAGAAATCTGGTAATACATAATGTATTGAAATTCTCAGAGTTGCAAGTCTATTCTCTTGTTTAAAGAGTGGCCACAGTTGATGCAGAAGACATAACGGATGTATAAATCAATGACTAAAACCAGGAATAAATCACTATTAACTTTTAACAAAGCTAATCTAAGTGAACATTGTTTTTTAATTATTGTATTTAGAAACTTTGATTATCAAAGATTTATAAAATTGATTTAATACTCTCCATTGTTTGTGGCTGAATCTTTAATCGCCCGTCCTTATTGAGTGAGAGAGACATGGTGCTAAATCTAATCAATGTATTTTGCTTGGCATAAATGTAATTGTTTGCAGAGTGCCTTAGACTGGGGATGTGGAAGAAAAGCTGTTCATTGAACTATTGCCCTGGTTACAGCCTGCAGAATACACAATACTTACCAAAGATGAGCAAAAAACATAGATTTGATTTACTCTCTAGAAACTCTCTTGTCATTTTGACAGCTTGCTGGGGCATTTTCCCCTCAATGTTTAGAACAGTATGTGACAGTTCAAATTATTTCCAACAGCAATGCATCTAAATGGCATCATGCACAAAAGAACAGCCAATTTGGCTCCTTTTGTTCTGCAAATGATTGTGCAATTCACTTTATATTCATTATGCTTGCTTATTTTGAATGTTAACATGCTCTTGTGGAAAGGAAAAATCTTCCAAACATTAAAATTTATTTATTGTCTCTGATCTGGTGGTTGGCCATTAAGTAACCACACTGTTCTGTGTGAAGCACTGCCATTGTGGATGCTGGCTGGCTCGTGTGATGACATTGTATGCTCTCCAATGACAAACCAATGTTTCATTACTATTGCTGTTTTTTTTTATTTGCAATGGAAACAATAAATGTTGCAGAGTCCAATTTTCGTTTTTTGTGCAAAGTACAGCATAATTATTCCATTAGACTCTTATACTTAAGATATCTGTGTACATTGCTTATGATGTGAGTGTCTCATGGACCCACGGGACAATTTGCTCGCCTCTATGTGTGCTGCATACATATGCAACAAGCAGGGAATGAGAACAACAGAGCTTCTTGCGTAGCAAGTGACATCAGTGGTGACTGTTTTCACAGGGAGTGATGTTATTACTAATCATTTTTACAGAAAACCAGCCTATCCTATGGTTCATGCTTGTCTGCTCATCCAATCCCAAAGGCCAAGTGCGTTTGACACCCTGATGTTCGTTTTCCTGTTGCAGGATAATGTAGTATATAGATTGTGACACTAGGCATTAAGGGAGAAACAGCTCGTTTTTATAATGGGGAAAATGAGTGGGTGTTCCAAAAAGAAGAGATCAAATGGTCCAAACAGCCTTTCTTTTGTGATCTTGTGAATTTGAACTTCTCTGTTTTGATCTTGTCAATTTGCACATGCAATGGTTTGTGTTTTGGTACATCAGTATACAGAACCACAAGTGGGTGAATGCTGGTTTGATCTCTCAATTAATGGTCCAAATTATAATATAGAGAAAAGTCTTTCTCCCGTTGTCCTGGCCAACAATCTATGGAACCATAGAAATTTATGGCACAGAAGTCCAGATAAAATTGGTCTTCGCTCTTTGTGGTACATTATTGTGTGCAAATTCGCCTATAAAATACACAGGCACTTACACTTTACAGTGCATCTTGTGAAACACTTTCACATGTCCTCCCACTGTGAAAAAAGCAAAGTTTTTTTGTTATTGCAGTACGACATTAAGTGGAAGTGAGGTGTTTCATGCAGGGGTAAAGAGAAGGGGAAATTTATAAAAAGTGATCATGGCTACCTTTTGATGTCCTCAACAGAAAAAAATAAAAGGCCACTAACAACACAAGCGATTAATTTATTTTTCTTCCTCCAATTAGCCATGTCCGACAGGTTCACGTGACTTTCGTGAGAAACAGTGCGCAGACTTTGATAACCTACCTTTTCGGGGAAAGTACTACAACTGGAAGCCATACACTGGAGGTTAGTGGGATTCTCTCTGATTTCTCTTTCATTTGTCACTTATTTTAATTATCTTCCAACCTTTTTCATCTTGCCGTCTCTTTGTACCATGCACCGCCCAAGCCAACAGAGCAGACAGATGGCCTTCTCTCAGCCCGCTGCAGTTGCTCACAGTACCACCAGTGCTCCGCCCCTTCTGGAATAAGACCTCCTTGGTTATCTTTCATGGAGAGTTGAAATCGTAAGATGATTCTGGGTATTTTTGTTTTGGTCAGCCAGGTGTCTGACACGTGCGGAAACCCATCATCATGCTTGAGTAGCCAAACCAAGCTGAGAATTTCATGCATCCCACCTACACATGGAAATTCCGGGTGCTGGGCTGGATGACTCCCTGTCCCTAGTGACTAGTCTGCCCTCCCCAGTCCTGCTGATGAGCCTGGCTGGCTGTGCTGGACTACCAAGACTGTCGCAGAGGGCTGGCTCGCTTCCAACTTTCTGTTGCCAAACATATCACCTTGGAACCAGTTCAGCTCCAAGGAGACCCTGCTTACTGGACCACCACCCCCGCCCCCCCCAAGCAGGATAGTATTCTGGGTAGGTGCCCAAAGGAGTGCAAGAGCTGTCATCATTTTCTTCCAAAAAAGGACTCTCGATCCCTTCAACCTCTCCCAACAACCAGCTGATCTCCAGCGCACCTTATCCAAAGTCCTGAAACATGCCTTTGACAATCAACTTAACCCCGCATTCCTCTCCAACGCCTCCTCAAGCCCTGCCAGTCTGGTTTCTGTCAAACCCATAGCGCTGGGACAGTCCTTGTCAAAGTCACCAACGCTGTATTCTCCACACCAGCTGAGCCTTCAGATTCTACTCTCCTAAACTCTGGAATTCCCTCCCTGTTCCTCTCATCACCACTCTATTAAGGCTTGTCTTAAACTTACTTCATTAATTGCCCTATAGTCTAGCCCCAGTCAACCCCCCCACCCCCCCCCCACAACTCCCTCCCATCTCTCCTTTTCTCAGCATCGGAACCAGTTTTTGTACAGCACTCTACAATGTTATCCTCAGTGAAGGGGCTATATAAGTGCAAGGGTTATTGTTGTTATTGTGTTCCCGGTGTGGAGTCTGGTAAACAACAGCAACAGCAACTTGAATTTATATAGTAGCTTTCACGCAGGCAATGTGTCGCAGGTGGAGGAAAGCGGTCTTGGTTAGGAACCGGATGTGCGGTAAGAAGGGATTGAACCTGACCACTAGGTTACGTACGGATTCGGTAAGCCTTAAGGAAAGACCAGGGAAAATGCACATCAGGCCTCAAACTACGACTTTTTATTAACTTGTCCTACTTTGTGTGTGAGGTCCAGGATCATAAATTGAGTAGAGCACAAACGACTTGAACAGCAGATCCCCTCCAACACATCAAGATTAGAGAGAAATGAACTTAGTTAGATAAGAAGAGAGAGAAATCCATATCCATACACATACACACAGCCAGTTTGAGGGATAGTCAAGGCAGCACCATTCCCAGAAATGTTCCCCACATTCGTGTAAGATTTTTTTTGCCAGGATCACACTTCTGCTTTGGAGCCTGGAGCAGATAAGTGACAGGCAGTTAGTAACCGAGTGCATAAAAGCATAAGAATTTGCTGAGTGAAAGAAGACCAAGGTCTATTTACAAAAACAGAGAGCTGGGAAAACTCAGCGGGTCAGGCAGCATCTAGGGAGAAAGGAAAGTGAGTCAACGTTTCGGGTCCACGACCCTTCTGATGTTGACTCACTTTCCTTTCTCCATAGATGCTGCCTGAACCGCTGAGGTTTCCCAGCTCTCTCTGTTTTTGTTTCAGATTTCCAGCATCTGCAGTATTTTGTTTTGTCCAAAGTCTATTTAGTTCGCTTTCCACCATCATGGCTGTCACTTGACATGTCGTGTCCCAAACTACATATTGTATCCCGAGATATTGTTTCCAAACAGAAATGTTATCTAGTCTGTTCTTGAAAGAATCGATACTTCCTGCTTCCATGGTCTACCAGACAGTAATTCCTCCAATGTAAAATTCAATGTCCACCGTCACAAGCCACTCGCTTTGTTTTTCTAGCACGTTTAGTCAGTCAAACATGAATCCATCTGTATGAAGTCTTTTTTAAACATTTGGACAGCACTAGGCCCTGCACAACTGTGTTTTAAATATAAACTGCATGTTTTTTTTGTAACAGGTGGTGTTAAACCGTGTGCGTTAAACTGCTTGGCTGAAGGATACAATTTTTACACTGAACGTGCTCCCGCAGTTATTGATGGAACTCGTTGCCATGCTGACTCGCTGGACATCTGTATCAATGGAGAGTGCAAGGTTACACATACTTTATTGCTATACCATTCAAAAACTGTTGGCGGTTTTTCTCAACACCTTTTATAGAATTTATTCAAGGAACTGGCAAGGAGGCTCAGCAGTCTGTGTAAATGGATACCTTCTTGTGGTTATATTTGGAAGCCAAATCTCCAAACAAAATCTCTGTGATTTGGTTCTTTTCTGCAACTATATTCACAGTGAATTTGGTCCGTTCAGAATAAATGAAACCAACCCCTTTATAGATTTGATTTTATTCTCCACAAAAAAAATCCTTGCATTTGATATAGCGTGGTTCACATCTTCTAGACGTCTCAAAGCGCTTCGCAGAATATACTGTAAAGTGAATTGACTGTATATTTGTGGGTGTAACTCAGCAGCCAATTGCGCATAGCAGTGTCCCACAAACAGTCGTGGATTGAAGTGACCAAATTATTATTTATTTATTCTTGAGGGATTATTATCAGGTGTGTGGTGTAAGGAAACTTGCCCAAGGTTTCACCCTGCTGGGAAATGAACCCAGGTCTCTCGTTTTATAAGGCGAGTGCTCTAACCATTGAGCTGCAGGACTCCATGGCCAGTGAACATAAACTGCTGCAACATCTCTTTCACCAAAACAAATGCTTGCAAGAACCATGGCCATTCTGACCTCAATAAATACTGTGTTTCCAGTATTAAACAAAATACCGAATTCATGGTGTAAAATAAATATGAAAATGTAGCTGTTTGAACCATTCTCTGACCATTATGGAGTCCTGTAGCTCAGTGGTTAGAGCACTCGCTTTGCAAGCGAGAGACCTGAGTTCAATTCCAGGCAGGGCGAAACCTTGGGCAAGTTTCCTTACTCCACACGCCTAATAATAATCCCTCCAAAAACCAAAAATATTAATAAATTGGTCATTTTCAATCTACGACTGTTTGTGGGACATTGCTGTGCGCAATTGGCTGCCGCGTTCGCCCACAAATATACAGTCAATTCACTTTGCAGTGTGTTCTGTGAAGCGCTTTGGGACGTCCTCCCGACGTGAAAAGCGCTATATCAAATGCAAGGATTATTATTATTATCATTATTATTATCTTTTGGCCATTTTAAAATTGATGATAATGGGACAATATATCTTAAGAAAACCTGTAACATATGCAATATATTGCTGCATGTGTTTAATTGAAGTAAATTGCAATAAAGCTTTTCTGATTTTCTTAACTTTTCCCTATTGAAAAAAATAATCGACTGGTAGATAATTTGCACATTTTAAAGTCTCTGGACAGAACCAGGGGAATGTGTTCATTTTGATCTCATTTCATTGGGGAAAAAAACAATTAGAAATTTCCCCCTTTTTAAAATAGTTTGTCTCCTTAGTAGGGAAATCTGCAAGTTCTTTGTGAGCCCAAACCTGATGCCATTGAAGGCATTGTCTGTACAAACTCACCAGCGGCTTTGCACAGAACAGATACATTCTCAAAATACTCCTGAAACTGCTCTGAAAATCAGTGTTCCTTGTCTTGTCGTTCACATTGTCAAAGCTGGATAAATATCCTAGGATGTTTTATGGGGCATGTTAGTAGGGATTAGGTTAGATCTACAGGAAGGTTCTTGCAAACATTTGTTTTGGTGAAAGAGATGTTAGAGCAGTTTATGTTCACTGATGTTTACTACAAATGGGGTAAGGTCACACTCTAATTACTACGTCTCAAAACTATCCCATTGCTTTTTTTTGCTATCAAACACATGTACGTGGGGAGTAAAAGGCAAAGGTTAGACCTTTAACCTGAGATTATCAATGTATTTACATAGCGATTAGGTTTAACTGCTGAAGGATAGCATTCAGCTGTTTTAAGATGGTCTAATTTTCAACAATTTCAAACATTATATTCTTTGGAAGATAAAGAGAATATCTTAGTGAGCAAAGTTTTTGTTTTATTTGCTTTTGTCCCTATTTAAAGTATACCCCCCCATCCCCATCATCGTTCTGAAATCCCTTCAAACAGCAGATTTTGTAATAATGTCTGTTTATGCAAATAGTGTGTCAATAAAACCATCAACAAATATGTAAGGCATTGTTAAGCTATGAAAGGCTCAGATTGCATCAGGTCTATAGAAACTCCTTTCTCTTTGGGACAACCTGTTTTGTATGCTTGCACCTATCGCAGTAACCCTGAAATGCTAACATAAAGGCACATTCACTTACAAGTTGAAATTCACTGCACATTGTAGTAAATTCAGTGAAGTGCTTTAATATATCCTCCAACATTTCTTTGGTTGAAAGGCTCTATATTGAATGCAAGGATTTTTTTATTAATTATTAATTTTCATATATTAAAAACATAATTAAAACTTTTGAAATACTTTGAAATTTAACACAGAATCAGAGGAATAATGATAGTCAGTATTGATTTTAAAGTAACTGGTGATAAAAATTTGTGTTGACTACCCTACTACTTGTATTTGAAATTATTATTTATTCATAATTATATGAATTTGGAATTTTTATTAAATATTTTTGGACTCTGTGGGAAATTCTTAAATTTTTTAAAACAATTGGTCACTTCAATCCACGGCTGTTTGGGGGACACTCTGCTATAAGAACATAAGAACATAAGAATTAGGAGCAGGAGTAGGCCATTCGGCCCCTTGAGCCTGCCTCACCATTTGATAAGATCATTGCTGATCTTCTGACCAAACTCTATAATTACCTGCCTTATCCCCAAATCCCCTAATCCCTCTATTTTTTAAAAATCTATCAGTCTCAGCACAATTGGCTGCCACGTTTCACCCACATAATATACAGTCAATTCATGGTATATTCTGTGAAGTGCCTTGAGACGTCTTGAAGAAGTGATAAGGCGCTATATCAAATGGAAGGATTATTATTACTATTCAGTCTTAATTTGGTCTTTTTAAGGGCTCCCTAAAACAGCTTAAAAATGACTGAATTGCTCAAGAATTTTCTACAATTCTGTATGATCTTAAATTCTAAGACAAAATGGATATATAATAATAATCCTTGCATTTGATATAGCGCTTTTCACATCTTCTCGACGTCTCAAAGCGCTTCACAGACTAGACTGTAAAGTGAATTGACTGTATATTTGTGGGCGAAACGCGGCAGCCAATTGCGCACAGCAGTGTCCCACAAACAGATATAGGCAAAGACTAGGTAGAAAAGTAGAACTAGCTAAAGCTTATAGACCATTTGAAGCTTGCTGAGATTCTAGCCTAGTGAGCTGGTCTTAGGTATGGATGTGCAGAGGGAGGGAGCTAAATTGGCCCCAGCGAGGGTTGGGAAGGGGAAAAACCCTTCCTGTCCCTGGTGTCTCCTTGGCATCCTCTACTGGTTGTCCATGTGTGTGGCAGCTGGGTGGGGCAAGGTGAAGCAATCTTGAGTGGCCTTCTCCAGTCACTGCCAAGGCACATACATGAACAATGGTCACTTGGACAGTCAACAAGCACCTAAGAAGCTGCATCCCAGCAAGAGAAAGACAGACAAGTGTTGTTTAATGATGAATCAAACCAAGGTTTTGTCTGCCTATTCAGATGGATGTTAAAGATCCCTTGGCAGAATTTGCATAGAGAGAGGAGTTAAACTCCCAAATATATTAGCCAATAATCCTCCAGCTAAAATTGGTCATTCATTTCAACAATAACTTGGATTTATATAGCGCCCTCCACGTCGGACGGCGTCTCAGAGCGCTTCACAGTAACGGATTCCGGGGCCGAGCCAGGGGGAGGAAGGTGACCAAAGGCGCCTTCACGTCTGTTTGTGGGATATTGATGTGTGTACATTGGCTGATAAGTTTGCCTATAAATACACATACACAGTATGCTTATAAATATAATTACAGTCAATACACTTTACACCATTTCCCAGCGAAGCCCTTTGAGAAATTTTGGCTTTATAGCAGATGTATCAAATGCAAAATGTAAGGGCTATTTTTCCTCGTCTCCATTATTATAAAGCAAGTGGGGAGAAAATTAGAAAAAAATTGGACACATTAAAGGTTTTTAAAAATAGACGGTAAAATCCTGGCCTCAAGCTTGTCTCTTCATCGTTCTTTTTATTTTTAACTTTTCTTTACTGTTTGCTACTTGTGACCAACCATTCTAAACATTTTTGTAAGCATTTTGAATTTAAAATTAGTTTCTTGCCCTTATCCTTTCTTGCAGCTTTTGTTTTAAAACATTTGTTTCAGAAAATCGGAGCCGCTTTATTTAAAAACAAAGTTTTTTCACTGGCTCGAGGCTGGTTTTCCAGCCAATCTAAATCACAGACCTTGATGATTGACAGGGTGATCAGGTCAATTTTTGATGCAAAAGTCACATCAGAAATAGGAAGTGGGAGCTGCAAACAATTAAACTAGTCAGTAGCCCAGAGAGATTGAACCGAGATAAGTGAACCTGTCCGGCTGGAGTAAATGTACTTATTACATTTCAAGACTCAAAATGTATATGGTGGCTAGGCTCCATACCACAGCTGTCTAATTTGATATATTTATTTTGCAAGCTGTACTTGTCTATTTAAGTACATATTAGATTTGTCTACCTTACTTTAAAAAATGTAAGTCTGAAAGTATGGGTATCTTTCTTCTCTTGAACCTCAAGTGCCAAAAAATCATCAATATTAATACTCATTTATTGTTTTAAAGTCATAAAATGTATTTTATTGATGTGGCTTGAAAACTACCTCAAACAAACTTTTAAGCCTTTGTCTATTTTTTCTGCCTCAGCACTCTTGTCTCTGGGTGGGGAGGTTTTGGGTTTAAACCCCACGTTACATCTTTGAGTCCACAGTCTAGGTTCACATTCCAGTTTAATGCTGAGGGAGCTCAGCATTGTTGGAGGTGTAGGTTAATGATGAATCAAACCAAGTTATTTTTTTGTCTGTTTAGCGCGATGTTAAAGATCCCTGGGCAGAAATAGTGTAGAGAAGGGAGTTAAAACTCCGAAGTATATTGGCCAATAATCCTCCAGATAAAATTGGTCATTCATTTCATGTCTGTTTGTGGGATGTTGATGTGTGCACATTGGCTGATACGTTTACCTATAAATACACATACACAGTATGCTTATAAATATAGTCAATACACTTTACAGCAGTTCCTTGTGCAGCCCTTTGAGAAATGTTAGCTTTGTAGCAGATATATCAAATATATCAGATATATAGCAGATATATCAAAAGTAAATTGTATGGGCTATTTTTCCTCATCTCCCTTATTACAAAATTCAAGATATTGAGTGAGGTGAAGTTACCAAAGAAGTGCTAAATTATGTATGTGTCCCCTCCCCCCACCACCAATTCCTAGCTGTACAAATTCTTTCTACTAGGATATTGAACCTTATTGTAATGGATTCTACACATTGAAGGTGCCCACCATAATCAAAGTGTTTGGCTTAACAAAATGTTATATTTAGGAAAGAGACGAGGCAAGGCTTTGAGACTCTAGCACTTGTAGGATACATTTATATGTAATACCTGATTAGGGCATAAAGTGCAGTGATACCAAGATTACCCCCATTGCTTCCTTAGCAGCATACTACCATAATAACCTGTGCCACAGCAAATCTTACTTGTTCATATCTTGAATATTGAATTTGGAAACCTCTTGTTATTCATTCATGACCAGTTCAGAACTTCCTCATTCTAAATGGTTTATCCTACTTTGATGAACACATAGCAGTGTTGTGTCCAAAATAATAATGCATTAAGTTTACTTTGACAATATGTGCAACCTGTTTGGGAGCTTGTTCAAAAGTATGCTTTAGAGTGGGTGTTTGATATGGTGCCGTTGTGCGTTAAGTAACTGTAAACAATATCCATTGTTAGTGACCACTCTAGGTTATCTTGTTTTTGATTTCCCTATTTTATTTGTGTCTAAAGCATGTAGGCTGCGATCACATTTTGGGTTCTGATGCAAAAGAAGACAGATGTCGTGTTTGTGGGGGTGACGGAAGCACTTGTGAAGCAACTGAAGGTCTATTCAACGACTCGCTGCCTCGGGGAGGTAGGTCTCCATACTGGGCATTCTGCAGCCATAATACAATTTCTGATATTCAATAGTCCAGTAGCACAAAGATAATTTTTCTTTGTGGATAACAATATAAAGTGTTGCTTGGATTTTAATGGTTTATGACATTCGAATGACATTTTGATTAAATGAAGGTGTTTGCAACATGCCAACTTCAGAACTCCAGGGTATTACTGTTTTGCTAAGAAAGCTGACTGCACCAGTCAGAATTTTAACCAAAACATTATTCCTACCTGAGGCCTGTTTGCTTAGAATATCATATTATTACGTTCAGTTGAGCATAACTAATAACATGTCTTATTTCCAGTGGAAGATGATGGACACAGAAATAAGCAATATTTTTTCTGGATGGCTGGACTGCAATTTGACTACATTCTGGTGAATTTAATTTGGACAATGAGAATGTTAAGTTGAATGCAGGCGCACACAGCAATAGAGACCACAATCTGTTAAATTACAAAAGAGGATTTAGGTTTAGGAACTAAAACCTGATATTAATGCCCATAATTTATGATTTGAACACACTCAGATATTTCAAGCTCTTCATTCACAATGGAATAGAAATTAACAATTAGCTCCCTCACTGCTGATGCCTTATTAAGATATTTTACCAGCAAAAGCAACTATATTAAAGTCGTGGAGGAACAAGTATTCCAGTTAAAGTTGAAAGTTGAAAAAAAAATCCATTTCATAATAGATTCTTGGACTGAGAGAAAAAAAATTCATGATGCACTTAAACAAAAATTGTTGTATAACCAAGGATGTTATTCTGAAGTTGAGGTTACAGAATATTTTAGATCAGTATAGTGAGTGCCTTGGGGTTCTTAAACTTCATGTGGCTCATATTAACCAGGTCTATTGGACGTTTGATGTGCTGCCACTAGCTCATTCACTCCATTCGTGAGCACTATCACCTGTCACTAAAATGAGTGTAAAATTCATGTAATTATTTTAAAAATAAACCAAAATAAAACAAGAATGGTAAGACAAAAATCATGAAGAATATTGTGAAATAGCACAGGTAAGGTTCAGCCATAACAATCCAAAATATGTTTTTGCATTTGGGATGATCAATAGAAAATCTAGCCAATGGTAAGGAACATCAACATCCCAAATGCCTTTGAGGCTGTAGCTGTACATCTGAAAATCAGATGCACACATATCCCATGCAGATATTTGCATTGCTTGCACATGCACAGCACACCCGAGTATCACAGCCACAAGCATATCACACACATCACATGCGCATGGCTAACACACACATCACACAGACACAACAACTTGCATTTATATAGCGCCAACGAGAGCAGCACCTTAGAGCACTTCACAGCAGTGTAGTCTCCCACCGAGCTGGAAAGAGAGGGAAGTGACCCAAGGCACAGTTGAAAATGAAAGTCTTCAGCTGTGATTTGAAGATGGGCAAAGAAGGGGCTAGAGGGAGAGGTTCAGGCAGGGAGCATGTGTGTCACATATACATAATACATACATATATCATACTTACACACATCACTCACATGTACCTGCACCTCACTCGCATGCATATCATAACACGAGTGTGAGTGCATTATCGCATATTGTTCAGAAATGTGTCACCTGTGAAATGAGGCTGGGTTTGAGAGCTGTAAATGCAAGATCCCTGTCAGATCAAAAGTTTAGGAAATTTTTACTAGGAGCCAGATAATAAATTGTTGTTGGGCTATGAAGATATTACAAGATGTAAGAACATAGAAACTAGAGAAGGCCATTTGGCCTGTTCCATCATTGTAATAGAACATGGCAGATATCCTATTTATATTTCTTTACCAATTGTCTTTACTTCTTAATACCTTTCTTAAGAATCATAGAATTGTAACAGACAGAAACAGCCATTTGGCCCATTAAGTCTGTGCTGGTGATCTTCTCCACAAGAGATATGAAGTTGAATTCCACTCTATCGGTCCCTCCCCATAACCTTTAACAATATTTTTCAAGCATCTATCTCCAATTTCCTTTTAAAATAATTTACATTCTGTTTGAGCAATCTTGTGGCATGTCATTTCACATTCCAATCACCCTCTGTGTAAAGATTTTTTCTAAGTTTTGTACAGGTGACCAAAAACTCATGATATCTACCCTATTATCTAAAAAATATCAATTCGTTAAGACTTAATAGACGTCATAATGGTATCGCAACTTTTTGGTCACCCTGTATTTATCTTAAATGTGTGCCCATTTATTTCCCCAAGTATCTATCTGTCTTTTAAGCATTCAAATCAATTCTGCATCTGTGGCCACCTGGAACAGTGCAATCTGCATTCTAACCATGGCTTGCATGAAGAAATGACTTCCTTTTATCAAGATAGTGAAGCAGTGAAATGGGAATTGGCAGCAAACCTCATGAAATCGATAGGACAGAATAAAATACATATATTGCACTAACCATGGTAATATTATGGTACAGACAGCAGGGAAATGGCCTGACATTCAAAATCATAACTTGTCTAAACGTGAATTTAATGCAGCTATGGACAATCATATTTCCTCCATTTGCCATGTAAAACTGTTAAAATAACAACAATTAATTCCATTGTAAAGTATATAGGATGACAGTTAAAGCAGTTAGCAGAAAGCAAGAGACAAAAATGTTACTACTTCACAATATATTCTGGAGGAGGCAGAAGAGGTGAACGTTTTGTTTTTTTAACATTAAATAAATAAACCACTTGGATTCCTTCAGTCACAATAAGATGTCCATTATGCACCAACAGCTGTGTTTCCCAACATAGGATTGGCCTCATAATGACTAAAATGGACTGAAAAATGCATTCAGAGCAAAATGAGTCGGAATGGTTTGTGGTTTAGAAAGATAGAGATAGGATTCTGTAATCTCCTCAGGCCTGTTCAACTTGTTCTAGGGCAAGGACTAGAAATGAGTGATTGTGAGGGTATTGGTTGTTGGCTCAGGCATGGCTAATTTTAGGTATGCAACAAATCACTTCCTAAGTGATTCAGCTGAAGGATCTTCAATACTTAGTCAGGCAGTAAACTCAGAAAACAACAAAAAAAGCACAATTTGGAAACAAATACTGAAAAGCAATTTCCAGTGCACTTTTCTTTAAGCATCAGGATTAAGAGTGAAAGTTGGAATAAACTGATGGCTCTATCTTGTTATGGAGAGACATGCCCTAGAACATGTTTTGTGCAGTTTACTCTATGTGTCTACTAGTTTCATAGGAAATTGGTTAACCAAAATGCAGATGGGCTGTGACCTAAATAAATCTGTAAAGCTCAGATGGTTTAAAATCTTTATTTGGCTGAATCACACATATTCATTTGTAAGATTCTTTGATAATAATATCAAGACAAAAAAAAGCACATGCTAGTTCTGAAAGAGTTATACTGGAAACATTTGTGATGTGCACATCATTGGTGAACAAATGAGCCACTGGTGCACATCAAAAAAGTGTCCTTAATGTGGCTTAATTAACATAGAATTGGTAATGTCGATCAGAGGTTACAAAAGTGACTGATGTGGGAAATGGAAAATAATTTATACTGGTGCAGTAGATGATCCTCTAAGATAAGGCAAGTTGGTAGGACAGAACCGAGCATCTTTACTGTTGCTACATCTGGTCTTAATTCAAAGCAAGCTTACATGTTTCCCTCGGTTTGCTGAGCACAAAATCAAAATGGAAGCAAAGGAGATTGGGTTCAATATTTCGTGCTATAAATGCAAAGAAACATAAACTTTCCAAAATGAAGATAGTGAGCTATAGGTATGTGGGACAATGTATTAAGAAATATCTAAGTGCAGGAAAACGATGAATAGGGTAAGTGGAGAAAAACTGGAGAGGAACCATCAAAGATAGGATTGTTTGCAAACTAGTCATTAAGATGAGAGTTTCAGCTCCATAAAAAGAAGGTATGCTTCAGTTATAAATGCATCTTAAATTCAATGTTTTTTTTTCTCAGTGTTTTATGTTGTAATATTGCTTAGGTTACCACTGCTTCCGATATCAGTTCCATTGCCATAATATTGCAATTTATATTTGTATTGAACACAACTTGATATTGTAAGCAGAGAGATCTAGAAGAATAGAGGTACAAAAGGCCATACATATAGTCAAATTGGATCCTGAGTTTTGGAAATGGAGGCATTGAATACAAAAGCGAGAAAGTTATATTAAACTTATGTAAGGTCTTGATTAAGGTACAGCTGGATGTCCTACTATAGAAAGAACATTAGAATCATGTAGGTTCACACAAACGATACAGTACCAAGAATTATCAATTACAGTTATGAGGATAGACTTGGAAAAATTGAGTTGCTGAAACAGTGAAGATTAAGAAGGCATCCAACCGAGGTCTTCAAAATGTGAAAACTTTTGAGAGAATAAATAGTCAAAGAATATTTCTGCTGGTTGGTGAATCAGTAACGGTAGCAAATAGGTCTGGACATTTTTTGTAAATAAATCGAATAGAATAGCTGCTTTTGGCCTTTCTATGCAGTTAAAATAGTTCATATATTAAAACTTTATGCTTTCAGGCTACATGGAAGTAGTCCAGATTCCGAGAGGATCAGTGCATATTGAAATTCGGGAACTGGCAATGTCAAAAAACTACATTGGTGAGTTTTAAGTGATGATGTAGTACTTGTGTGGAGATTGGATCTTCGTTTAATTTATGTGTTCCATCTTTTCTACAAGGAATAAAATTGGATGTAAAAGTCTTGTAACTTTTAAACAAACAACTTGGAGTGTTCTTTTCAAAAAAAATTGTTTGTTAATCCAGGGAGACATATAATTTTAACTGGTCTGTCATGAAAATTTCAAATATGACAACATTTATTTGGGTTTGTGCAAGTTGTTGAAATCCTTTGGCTACAGAATCATTTGTAATAATTTTTGCTTATAGCTTTGAAATCTGAAGGTGATGAATATTACATAAATGGTGCATGGACCATCGACTGGCCAAGAAAGTTTGATGTCGCTGGCACAGCTTTCCACTATAGGAGACCTGCAGATGAGCCAGAGTCCCTGGAGGCGTTAGGGCCGACCACAGAAAATCTGGTCGTCATGGTAATCTATCCAATAAATAATCCTGTGTTTATATTGCTTAAATATTCTGCTTACATTTAGGAGACAGAGGAAGCTATTTTTTCTCATCATTCCACTAGAGGCAAGATAACCTGTTGGTCGAGAAGTGTTACTGACATTGGCCGAATGTGGTTACAATGGAATTTTCTCATCATTGCTTCATTGACTAGTGGAATATCCCATTTTACACATCATTGTGATTTGCTGCTCACTACATTCTCACATTTTCAGGACAGATAGAGTAGGAAAGAGGAGGAGGATGGCAATATTAATCAAATATTCCATTGCAGCATTAGAGTAAGGATTGATGTAGGTGAATAGAAATACAGAATGAAGGTGGAACTATTACTCTGTTGGAAAGCCATATCCCATACCACACTTTTAAGTCCAGCAGTATTCTGGATTAGTATGTTTCCATTCCAACTAGGAAGGAGTAGTGCTTGATCTAATGCTAGGAAATAAAATGGGGCAATTAAGCAATGTAAGAGTAGATGAACATTTAGTAACCAGCAACACGCACGCTCTCTGTGGCATTGAGATCCTTTCTATAGTGTGGGAGCCCAAAACTGGATTCCAGAGTATCAGGATGTAGATTGGTAAGAGCCAAGGTTTCAGGATGCCAGAATGTGCATTGGGATATTGCTGGAGTTTTAACTAGCTAAATTCATATAGCTTGAATTGAGAGCACTGTCTTGGAAGCTTCCTATTACTGCTTGCCAAGCTAGAACTACTGTATCCATTAGTGCTTTGGTTTGCAGGGTTAACAGGAGTTGAGCGTGAAGAGTCCCTGCTCGCAGTGTCTGGTCTGCCCTTCCAAGTCCTGTCAATGAGCTAGGTTGGCAGATCTATCATCAGCGGTGTCGTGAAGTACTGTAACCCCACCTGGCTTAGGAAATGGACTACTGAGACTGCTACAGAGGATTGACTTCATTCTGGCACTTCCGTTGCCATGCAAATCACCTTGGATCCAGTTCAATTCCAAGAGACCCTGCGCGCAATGGTCTCTCTCCCCACCCCCCTCACCCGCCCCCGGAGGATAGTTATTACATCTGACGAAATGGTGTGAGAGCTTTGATCTGACACAAGCTCACATCCTGAGTTGCCCAACCCTGAGAAAGTTCAGCTCTTGGCTGGGTATTGTATGCTCACTAACCTCAATGGAGCCAGTTAGGTCATGGCCGATTCCTCCCTGTAACATATGCCACAGAGCAGATGAGTGAAATTAGAAGCAGGCCCACAGGTACAATAGTAATGCGAAGCTTCCTTGCTGTAAGAATCATTTTTAGAACTGTTATTTTTCTCTGTTTCTTGTGGAAATTCTTTGATTGTAAAGTACTCCCTCAGGACTTTAGTTTAGGTTATGACAAAATTTCTAAGTAGCTTCTTATTCGGACTCTTGAAGTGCTTAAAAATAGCTTCCCATAGCACAGTGAAAATATTCTTTAGTGTGAGTTTATTAATACGTACTATGATATTAAATGCCCTAACTTCGTGCAAGTACAAAGACTTTTAAAAATAGCATAAGACCAACATATTTTGTGATTTTCAAAATGAGCAGTGCATGTTTTTTTTCTTCACATATTTGGTTTTTGATTGAATTTTACTATCTTCTTTATCAGCAGTTTTCATGGTGGGGGGAATCAGGGAATTTTCAGTGTTTACATCTCTGTCTGAAATTAGAAAGGGTGATCAGAGACAGGATAACTACAAAGAATGCAGATAAAGATTAGAAACATAGCACTATAGAAATTTACAGCATAGAACGAGCCACTTAGTCCATTGTGTCACTGAAACATCTATTCACTTAGTTCCATTCTCCTGCCTTTTCTTCATACCCTTTTATATTTCTTCTTTTCAAATATTTATCTATTTCCTCTTAAAAGTCAATAAGGATTCTGCCTCGACCACAGCTCCATATAGGGCATTCCATGTCCTAACAACCCTCTGTGAAAAAAAATGTCTCCCAACCTCTCCCTTTGTTCCGTTGGTAATTTACCATAAATCTACACAATCTAGTAACTGAATCAAGGAACAGTGGAAAGTAAATACTCCCTGATTACTTTATCAAAACCCCTGATAATTTTTAAAAACCTGTATCAGGCCTCCTCTCAACCTTCTTTATTCCAGGGGAAACAGCCCCAGTTTCTCTAATCTTTCCTCATAAGTAAAACCTCTCATCCCTGATATCATGCTTTTTTAATTAAAATAAGTGCTAGCAAACATACTAACGGGCCAAATGGTCTCCCCTCTGTGTTGTAAACATTCTTTGATATATTTCCAATGGAGGCCTAGGTGAAATCCAGAAGTCAGTTAATCATTGTCCTTAACAGCCTTTAGTAAGAATTTATTTCTGCTGAATTTAAAATTAAGCATTCAGAGATAAAGTGGGGAGACAAATAAATTTTGTCAGATGTGGCACCTGGACTGTGAAACTTCATTTCACTTTTGAAAGTGGATCTAAATTGTGAGATTGGTAAAAGGTTGGTAATTAGTTAATCCCAGATGTGTTATGTCTGACCCTCTGGAACTCTGCTCGGATGTCGGTCTGAGTTTCTGTCAAATCTGCGTATGAGCGGAATTACAGAGTTGGCCAACACATCTAGGTTTTGCTATCATTAAACCTTTCGCAATACGCTTAATTCACACCACCTTTGAGGAACAAATTATAAAGGACTAACATTGGCAGCAGATCTAAATTTACAGTAATTTACAATATGGCTTTACATTCACGAAGACTTTGCCTCCATGGTACAGCCTAATCTCTTTACGTAGTCTGTTGTAATAAGAATTGGAATCTTGTGATTTTTACTGGACATTTCTCAAAGTAAAACTCAAGTTACATCACTCTGTTAAACTTCTTTGTAATTCACATTGCCAAAGATCAGAAGCATTTGTATCAGAATAGTGGCACATATAAAGCATTCTCACAACATTTTCATCTAAAAACTGAGTTCCTATAGGAAATTGGTGGATAGTTTTAATTGAGGATGTGGACCTATATAACTGCCCAGAACTCAGCCACAATTTGGCTGGAATTTGACAAACTCCCTCAGCCCTCAGTATGACTGAGAAGTGATAAAAATGACACTGGTGATGTTGAAAAGAATCTGGTGGTCAGGGCAAGATATAGAGGCCTTGATTTACAATCCATTTGTGCTGTACCTGACTTCAGAGGGGCCAATGTGTGACCAAGCAGCAAAGTTGTTTCATTCCCTTACATCCTTCCCTTTGTTTAGCACAAACATCACCCCCACAATAATAATAATACTAATAATAATCCTTGCATTTGATGTAGCGCCTTATCACGTCGTTGAGACGTGTCAAAGCACTTCACAGATGTAAAATGAATTGACTGGGTAGTTTGTGGGTGAAACACGCTAGGCAACTGCGCACAGCAGTGCCCCACAAACAATTGTGGATTGACATAATGTTATCCCTTGATTTGCTGAAACAATGAAACTGTGAACTGGACCAGATCTTGCAATATTTCAAATTATAATGTATATTCGGGTTAAAAAAAGTGATTAATTGTGCAAATCAGATAAATTGTGTTCATTGCGATTTGGATTTTACAAGTATCATGTGACATTCACGGTGAGATTTGTAAAAAAAAAGAATTGATTTGCAAGCTGACAAAATCCAAAAAAAGGGTGGTGAGCAAGGCCAACAATTTCCTCCCAAACCGTTCTTTAGACATTGTTGACTTGGGGGTTTTCTGCTTGGCAGATCGCCTGGTGATTCTGACAATATGATATTCACAAACCAGAAGTTACAATTAATGCAGTGAATGCAGTTTCTGAAAACACATTTTCAACTGCACTATAAACCTGCTGAGTTTTTAGACTGATATCTGTTTCATATGCTTTGTTTTATTGTAGGTGCTTCTACAGGAACCAAACCAGGGAATCCAGTACAAGTTTAACGTCCCAATAATTCGTACTGGCAGTGGGGACACAGAAGTGGGATTTGTATGGCATCACTTGCCGTGGTCAGAGTGCTCGGCCACCTGTGCTGGAGGTAGAACCCAGAATCACTTCAGAATTATTTATCATCACTGATTCTTTAGCTCAGTTTTTAATGACTATGCACCGAGTTTATGTGTGTCTCAGTACAGTCTTTACAATTGCTGTTCCTTAAATTATATTCAGCTGATTCTGGGTAGCTTGCTCCTATGAGTACTTGATTTGGGATTTGAGTTGAGTTAGTACGAATTGCACTGGAGTCTCATTTCTGATATCCATCTGGAGCATATAGTCTCAGAAGTGAGGGATTCATACCTGCTTCAGCGTAAACAAGCTGTGTGTACGTGTGCACGGGGATCACTCCCCTGTGCTTCAGAATACTCGATGGGGGCCGATAAAGCTGCAGCTCATGGACAACTAGCTGTCTGATTCAAATCATATCCTCACTGTGTTTGCTGATCTCAGGTGCACGGGTGGGCGAAATTGTTCCTAGTCTACCCAGGCTTAGGGAGGGGAACGCCAGCCAGGATTCCTGCTCCTGGTTTCTCTTCAGCGCACCCTATACTAGTAGTGTATGTGTGAGTGGGTGGGGTGAGGTTAGTTTCAGCTGTGAGGCCACTGCAGTCGAGTGGTGTGTCAATGCTCACAGACAAGGCTCACACAGGAATAATGGCCACTCGGGCAAGGTAGCGGAAGGTAACTAGCGTCCATGTAACCGAACCCCAGTAAGAGGAGGTCAGACCAGGAGCAGAGAGCCATATGTCAGTGGGGAGAAAATCAGAAAAAAAATTAGACCCACTAAGTTTTTATAAAACATTTCCATACAAAAACTCTTGGCGTTATCAGTCTAGATTATTGCACTATTGCAGATTCTTAACCTGTAAGTTGAAATGAGGCACAAAATTGACAATGTATGTAAATGTTTTTCTTTACTTTTCTATGAAATGCTTCTTATTTTTACCTTTTTCCATTTGAAACAATACCTAAGTAACAGCAAGATTACACTGCTGCCATCATGGCTGATATCTGCTGACACTACAAAGACTAGATCGAGGTGCTTTCTATCTGAGTCGTGCAGTTTCAGTGCCTTTACCAAGTGAACCACTTGAAGAACTCTGCAAAATCATGTGTTAAGAATTCAGGAATTATCATCCATTTTTCATCCCTATGAAAAGAATGTTACTTGAAATATGTGCTGCAATTTTAATAGAAAGAGAGAAAAACTATTTCCTGTTTTACAGGTACACAGAAACAAGAAGTAATATGTAAAAGATTAGATGACAACTCCATTGTGCAGAATAGTTATTGTGATCCTGAAAGTAAGCCACCTGAAACTCAGCGAGCTTGCAACACTGAACCGTGCCCGCCAGAGTAAGTTAGCAAAACCTTTTTTTGGTCTTTTACACTTTTGCACATTGTTTTCTTCTAACACAAAGCTTTCTGCTTTAATCAGCATGCAGTGGATGATAATAATATGGAAACCATATGTTACCTTTGCATTCATTGACAACCCTCATAACTCTTCACCAATTTTATTCCAATCCTTTCACAAGTTACCTTATTAAACTTGGAGTGATTTCTGCTTTCTGGTGTACGTTATTGTAAGTTATACCAGAGGCATGTGACTACTGGTGGTGCGGATGAAGAAGATCCTTCAGCCCATTATGATCTCAGCTTTCCAGAATTACCACAGATTCCACTTTCCATTTAGGATTAAACACACATTGACTGAAACTTACATTGCATGATATTAAGATGGAAACCATATGTTACCATTGATAACCCTCATTATTTCTATATTCTTTGGTGATGCTAAAATGAGGTGATATAAATTTCACTTGTATTTAATTTTAATATGATGTTGCTCTAATACTTTCTCAGTATTGTATGACAAATCCGAACATTTCAGTCTTATGATCTTCAGCCAATCTATCATTTTCCCATTAAAGCAACAAGCTGTTTCTTAAATTAATCCAGAGTCCTGGCCACAACCAGGAAAACCCATTCCAGCCTATAATTACCTTCTGTGTAAAGAAATACTTCCGGTGTTTGTCCGGAAATTGCTCTCTTGCTTTACTGCCTTGGCATATCTGAAAATAATAATAATCCTTGCATTCACATCAAATGTCACAGTGCGGGTCACAGAGTATTCTGTGAAGTGTAGTGACTGTGTATTGTTTTGGGTTTACTTTAATCCTATATCCCTCTATAAGTCCCCAGTGGGACTCTACTATTCAAGGCTGAAGAGCCCTAGCTTAACCAATCGTTCCTCAGAGTTTATCCCCTAATTGAAAAGCTGGTTTTCATATTAGCCTCTACCTCTTGCATCAAAAGGGCTGCCTTAAACTTATGGATGGATGATATAGCATTTTCACTCTCATCGCAAGGATTGGAATAGATCAGCCACCAAATGGAAGTTTGTGTTTTAATGTGAAAAGGAGCAACAGTGAATCCTGCGACCAATATCAGGCATTAAAAAAATCAACAAACCAGAGATTAAACCTAAATGTTTGGAGTAAACAATTTCGTCAAAAAAAACTGTCTGTGCTTTGGTCAGGTGCTTCAAGCAGTCATTGCATTCGCAAAGACTGTGAATGCTCATGGCACATTGGGTTCCCACTATTGCTGAGCTTTGATTAAGATGAAAACAATTCAAAATAACATCTTTATCTAAATGATGTGTAACACACTTGCCCTTATTTGTCATCTCAATGTTGCTGGCCTATTTTAAACGTAGAGTTGTCTCTTTGGGAAAAACATATAAATAAGTTGACCTACTTAATTTCTGACTTTGTCAACGTCTACTTAATCCTGTATAGAAAATGGAATTTGTGGTAACTCGTATTACAAAATAATGTGCCTCTATCATCGTTTACATTAACCAGATTTTTTAGGGTGTGTTAGTTTCACTCTGGATGTTAATACAAAAGGGAAAAAGTGAGTTTTAAAGTTATAACCTTTGTTACATTCACCCAGAATTTACAAACAATGCTTACATTACGTTGTCTGTCTTCTGACTTGATCTTTGCGGTTTTTATTGTTTGGATTTTCTCTTATCAGAGAAACACTCCGTCTATCAACAGATGGATTAAATTTAGGAATTGTACGTAAATATTACAGCATTTTATACATAAATCAGTCACTATGCGTCTGTACTAGTATATTATTGACTCAGACAAGCTAACAATATTCCCCTATTAGTTATTAATGGTAGGTGGGCAAATCTCAGATGGACAGGATTATGACTGATTTCTCTACCTTTCAGATGGTTTATTGGAGATTGGTCAGAATGCAGTAAAACATGTGATGGTGGAATGCGGATACGAACTGTATTGTGTATCAGGAAAATAGGACCGTCCGAGGAAGAAACTCTTGATGACAGTCACTGTCTAACACACAGACCCATTGAGAAAGAGTCCTGTAACAACCAGTCCTGTCCACCACAGTGGATTGCGCTGGATTGGTCAGAGGTACAATCATCATACTTCTTTACTAGTGCAGTCTAAAATTTGTTGAATTCTAACTGGATTCTTTACATTGTCTCCAAATTGCAATTGAGAAACCAGCTGCACATCACAACGGTCTGTGGGAACGTCACTCAATAGATTACACCAGAGTTTGCACGGATTGGCATGACATGCTTCTGTGGAGTCCTGTAGCTCAGTGGTTAGAGCACTCGCTTTGCAAGCGAGAGACCTGAGTTCAATTCCAGACAGGGTGAAACTTTGGGCAAGTTTCCTTACTCCACATGCCTAATAATAATCCCTCCAAAACCCCAAACAATAATAAATTGGTCATTTTCAATCTACGACTGTTTGTGGGACATTGCTGTGCACAATTGGCTGCCGCGTTCGCCCACAAATATACAGTCAATTCACTTTACAGTGTGTTCTGTGAAGCACTTTGGGACGTCCTCCCGACGTGAAAAGCGCTATATCAAATGCAAGGATTATTATTATTATTTACTGGAAGGAGACTTGGAATTCTTGTTAAAGAATCCCATTGGAAATAATTGTATTTTAGAAACCCATTGCCGGGTAATGAAGTTTACTAGATTTATTCAAATTACTCCAAAATTTAAAAAAAATCTTAACCAGGAAAAACAACAACAAATGGCTGTTTCAGTATTTTTGCTGAAAGATGAGCATTATATGTGTCTGCAGTAGAACAATTGATATCTGCATTAATGGGGCAGCAACATTTGTGAAAATCTAGTTACTGGGTAATCTCACAAAATGCTTTCATGTAAAACAGTTAGAGCAACAGTGTTTTTGGAAGCGTGTTTTCCACCATTCTTTTTAAGACAATGGATTTAAGGCTATGACCATAACAGCACTGTGACCATTTAAGTGCTCCGAGATGCCATCCGGGGTGAAGGTCACTATATTAAACGCAAGTTGTTGTGGTTGACCATGGTGAGTTTGGAGCCGCTCTATCGGGCTCAGTGGAGAAGGATTTCTGACTGATTTTCCCTCTGCTCAGGGGCAATTATAGTTCCCCCATACATTCTAATCTGGAAATCTACCACATGCAGAGCAGGGATTAAACCTGGGTGTTCCTGGTCTGCTATGGCTCAGCACCACAGTCACCATAGGGACTAAGCATTTCCCCTCCATTTGTGATTAAAATTCACTGTTTATTTCAATCTGTTGCACGCAGGGATTGTACCAGCCTGAAATATGTTTACATGATGCAACGGTTAGGTCACAGTGATTGAAAGTATTTCCATGAAAAAGCAATGTCAGGAGGTCATAGCCATTGCATAAATATTTATTTCAAATATTTATGCACAGGAATTGATAAATGTTCTAAATACATTAAAAACGACACTAAATCTCACACACACCCCACTCCCTGCACAGTGCTAATGTGATTACTCATTTTTGGCGATAGATAAATATTGTAATCCGTGGCGTAAATTCCAAAAATCTGATTGGCTTCAGTGGTTTTCAACAGGATTTCAACTATGACTTCTTAACTGCTTTGCTTCCTCGTTTGCAGTGTACTCCAAAATGTGGCCCAGGATTTAAGCATCGAATTGTTTTGTGTAAGAGCAGCGACCTTAGCAAGACCTTCCCACCCTCCCATTGCTCAGCCGAAAGCAAGCCCCCGGTCCGGATCCGCTGTAGCCTTGGCCGGTGCCCTCCCCCTCGCTGGGTCACTGGAGAATGGGGTCTGGTAAGTCAGCACTATTCTAAAGCTTTACTCTGTGTGTCCTGGTGCTTTTATCTGCATGGAATGGGTAAGTGGAATTAAACAAAGATTTAAAGTGTGTATGAATTACCAATTATACCATTGAAGTTAAAATAACCCTTCAGATCATTTTATGTTCATTCACACTCATCTAAATAACTTCAGCAGTGATAGCTTAAAGATGACTATCCCAGCAAGTACTGCAGTAGTCAATTGAAACAGGTTGCTTACCGCTGAACATTTTATGTTGTTACTAATTACAAGGATTGATTTATTAAAATCTTTCAACGATAAATTATGTTAAACTGAGGTCCCGTTGCCTGTTTAGGTGGATATTAAAGATCCCCTATGGCCAACAGCAATCCTCCAAATAAAATTGGTCATTTGCTTCACGGCTATGCTTCTTTTAATTAGCAAAAATCACTGATTTTTATTTCCAATCTTTCACTTTTAAGTTTGACGTTTAAAATAATTACATAACCAGTTTTTGGCAAATAGAGTTCAAGGTGGACGCTCCCAGGCATCAGAATAAAGGCCCTCATGATCCTTACTCTCTTAGTTCATGAACGTCATGCTTGAACTAGACAGATTTTTTAGGAAGAAATTAGATAGCCATGATTATACTTTTGGCGGACAACCAAACTTGTTTAGAAGTTCGCTTGTTTGGAAGTCCAAGATGATGACAAATGAATTATCCAAAATATTCAAGAGAGAAATTCCAGAGGTGCATAACGCACAGAAACAAAACTGGCCCTGCCAAAACTGTGACTGCCGAAACTGAATTCAAATTTAGGTTTTACCTAATAATTGAATTTCTGGCTCAATTTGGATCATATCGGATTTCCCATCTGGAGCCATGCCCTTCACTATTACACATATCTAGCAATGTAATGATTAAATAATGCAGTCATTAAATGATTGCATTCCATACAGTTAAGCTAAAATCAAATATTAATAGAAACTTGCTTGTACGATTTCCCTTCTGAAGCAATATTTTAATAAATGTTGCTAAGATGCCAGATAATTCTGTGCAATTTCTACTCATACCAAAAGTGGTTTCCCCCTGTTTTCTCCCCTTCCCGAAGAAGAGAGTGATTTATATTGAAGCTCAGATCTGTGGATCTCGGCAGATTCTGTATTATCTGTTGATTTATACAGAGGGCTCAGTTGCCCATCCAGCATTGTCAAGCACTTTGAAATGTCCATCCAAGGAAGGGAAGACATGGAAAACACTATTATTATACATATATTGTATTAACATTTAGTTACTTAGAATGTAAGTAACCAAATGTTCAGTTTCTCCTTATGATTCTAACCTTGCTCTGAATTATTTATTGCTTGTGTTATTGATTTCTGTGGTATCACCACTCTATAAAGATTTTAGGTTTACATTATGCTATTCATTAAATGTCTCTTAGAATTGTAACAACCTCAACACATCTTTGACATGCACACCAATCAGTTTGTAAAGGATTGGTTTAATAGTTATCCTTTCAAGAAGGAGGCTGTCTTAAAATAACTATGTCTTTTGACAGATGTGTCCAGCAAAACGTAGGAAAAGTTCAACTGGAGCTCTTAAAAAGAACTGATTTAATCATCGTCACTTATGATATCCATCTCTTTTGAACAAAATCTATTTTCAGACCTGCAGTAGTAGATTGTAGAACAAAATACACATTTTACTGCTCAGTCTCTCAACAACAACAACAACAACAACAAGATTCCATTTATAGAGCGCCTTTCACGTCGGGAGGATGTCCCACCTTGATAAGAGATCAAACCCTACTGTCAAAGGGGATAGACTCAGGTCAAATAGACCCACAAAGTGTCAAAAAGCCATATTAAACAGCTCAAGTTGTAACCAATTTTCTGTCCTTTTTATTCTGGACACCTGTTTCCTGGAATGTTCACCTAGAAGCATCAAATATCTGTGACTGACATCATATGGTGGCTGATATCCTGAGCTGGATGGCTACCTACCTCACAAGTGAAATCTACTCTTGGAGTTTATTGCTATTCAGTTCCTCGTTGTGCGTTTATTCAGAATTAAATCTCTTTTACCTTTGCAAACATGAAGATACTTTGTCCACGTCACAAAAATCGTGGTTGCCTTTCACTGTGATTTTTGTGACGTGGACAAAACAGTCCGTTGTTTTTCTAGAGCAACCATTTCCTTTTATTTTCTTCACTTTGTAGTCTTTTTCTAATCCTCTTGCTTTGAAGAAAGTGCAAACGGACAGAGCAATACTGATTCGGGATGTGCCCAACTGATTAAAGGTTGTTCTTTTATAAGTAGTGCATCTCTGCACTGAACCCAAATCGTATTAACCTATTGGTGTCAATCTCCTACTTGGATAGACAAGTACAGTGTGGCATGCAAGCGCTCTGAGATTCTACCCTGCTTGGAGGGTGCTATATAAGTGCAAGTTGTTGTTGTATTCATTTTAGACAAATTTATTTTGATTGTCAGGTTCTTGAACAGACTTGATTCTGAGATAGCTGACTCCTGTTCTTCATAATCAAGAATGTATTTACCGTAAGGAAAGCTACTGCTAGTGTGGTTTGTGATACAGAGATGAAAGAAACGTGTCTTATGGCGCTGTGGTGAATCCCCTGAGGTTCCTCCAATCTTGAATATGTATGACAGCTTCTTGGCCTTGGATTGAAATTGAGTTTGGTGTGTGTATGGCAGCAGAAGTGATTTTCCATCTTATCCTTACAGGGTCTTTCGCAGACATTCCCTTGTCTCCCGATTCATAAAGTCAGCATGGTAAATTAATCAAAACAGGGAACCACTATTGCTGCTGCAGAAATTTAACCTGGTTTTACACAAATTCTTATTCCCATGGTTTGAGCTGCTGCACACATATCACCTAAATGAGCTTACTTGGAAAGCAGCTTGGTGAAATTCCTCAAGGTCGTATCCTTGGCCATGGTTTTAACATTTAAAATCATGCAGAATTTTGGTATTGTTTAAAATTTAGACTTCATTTAGAATCCACTTTTCTGCAGATTTTAATGGGAAATCCACACTCTCTGATCAACCCTATCTCACATGGCATGGATGTAGGACAGTACTGAAGCCTTAGTCTAAATTCTTTCTTAAAATAACATCTGAGTTCCATCTCAACAATTAATTATACCCTCTTTTTATCTTCATCTACTTCACTAATCAGAAATCCAGCACAATTATTATTATGTCAGTTCTTTATGTGCTGTGTAAGGAAACTTATATAAAAGTCTTATATAAAACTAGACAATTGCTCAGTTCTTGTGGAACTTGGAACCAAGCTTTGCCTGTCTGCAAACAAATGCTTGCCAAGTGGTTAATGAAGTGAATATTCATTGCCATCAATTGGCAGGAACATTTACCCATTCTGCATTTCTCAGGCTAACCTCCAAAATGTTAATGTAGGGTTTCTATGTTGTATAGTCCTTGAACTTTAACCAACAAAGTTATTTATATCTTTCTTAATAATAATCCTTAAATTGATATGGCACCTTATATTGAAAAGTCTCAAAGCATTTCACAGAGTTCTCCATAAAGTGTAATTTGTGGGTGAGCGCAACAGCCAATTTGTACACAGTAATGACCCACAAATAGCCATAAGTGACTTAACATCCTTAATTTGATTTTTAATATGAGAGATTGTTGGTCAGGACACCTGGAGAGACTCTTTTTGTATTGTGCCGTGGTATCTTTAACATCTATTCCGAAGGATGGCACCGCTAATAATGCAGTGTTCCCCCAGCACTACAATGAAGTGTCAGCCCAGATTATGAGTGAAAAGTTTCAACATAGGGCTTGAACACAACCACAACAACTTGCATTTATATAGTGCCCATTTGAATAGTGGAACTTTGAGACAGTCTGCTTTTTACTGAGCAAAATACTACATTTGTTCCAAATGTTGGTATGTTGATATAATAAGATTATTGAGTGCCAGTTATGCTGTTATCCCAAACAATGTTAAAACTAAATACAGCATTTGCTTTAACATTATGTACAATTTAAATAGTCACAATGCATCTCTTTCTCTTGTTCTTTCTCTAGTGTTCTGCCCAATGTGGTCTTGGGCAACAGATGAGGACAGTGCAGTGTCTCTCATATACCGGTCAACCATCCAGTGAGTGTCCTGAAACTCTTCGACCTCCTTCAATGCAACAGTGTGAAAGTAAATGTGATGCGATGCCCATCACCAATGCAGAAGGTGGGTATTGTAAAAATGCAGCATTGCTTGGCTTTCTTAGGCAATAACCGTAGTAGGTGTTTTTACATTTCCAAGTGTTTTTATGTGTTTCTTGGAAATTACTGAATCCTTCACCGGCTTGCTTGCTGATTAACAGAATTTCTGCCGAGTGAAAACCTTGAAAATTGAAAACATCAATGGTTTCCCAAGTCCTGTGTCAGGAGGCATATTGCAAAGGGTTTTCTATCAATCTGTCTGAACAGTGGAAACATTTTTGCTGATTGTGCATGTGCTTAATTCTGTGAAGAAATGTCAGATTAATGTCAATTGATGCCGGGGTATTAAACCTGTCTTTCTGTTCCAAATGTCAAGTGGCTAAAATGAATTAAACGAGCCAGTAAAGGTCATTCGATTCAAGAATTTGATTGGTTTCTTTGACATGCATAATTTCTTTTGAGTAGTTCCAAAACAATTTTACTGACAAGAAAGATAAAACATTGACAATTTATTCTTGAGTTCTAGGTCACTATTTAAATAAAAAAGGAAATTCTGTGAAAGAAATTCTAAATTATGAACATTTTGTTCTGATTTGAACTATTACCAAAGGCTTTTTTTNCTTCAAAATGTCATGTTCAGTGTCAGATATTTTACTTTCGAATAGGTCAGGGGATTGCAAACAGTCAAAATAAATCAAAAGATTTTTCTCAGGAAATATGTTTTTTTTCAGATGCTGACAGAAGTAAGATTACATCAAAGCTGACTGAACAGTTTCAAACTTTTGTGAAAGTTTATAGCAAAGATAGAGAAGAGGGCGTCTTGCTCCACATCTGTTCTTGAGTTAGTTGTATTTTGTGAACTACAGTTTTTCCTTAGCCCGTGTTTGAAAGATTACTTGTGTTAAATTTAACATTACGTTTGCTTTTAAGAATACTACAGACTCGCTCCGAACAGCTTGAACTACCATACATGAAATACAGTTCTGTCCATTTTTTTGAAGTGCTTATGTGGTTGCAGATCCAGACAGCTCAAGGTCACCTGAAACTCGAGCCAAAATGCCATTTGAAATAGTCTTTCATGCAGTTTTGTGTTTCCTTACGGTTCACGTATTGTGTTTATGAATTTCTCACAGTAGCTGCAAGCACTTTGTCATTTGGTATTTATTGTTTCGACCATAACATATATCCTTGGTATGTTTTACATCTACAAATCAGGAAGAGGATATTCCAGTGTTTTCATTGATTCTAGAATTAGTAAACTGACCGACAATTAATCAAATCCTATATGTGTGCAGCTGATGGTTATTATACAATCATTAGTCAGGATGGTTAGGTTTGTTATAGCTTTCATAGTGAATCTTGTATTCTGACCAAATGATAAAAAAAATTTAAATCAAAAAATGTAATATGCATTTTAGAAAAAAAACTATCTGCATTTTGATGACTCCTTGAAAAACGTTTTTTGAAAATATATTTGGAAACTGTAAAATAAAATTTCTTTATCTGACTTATCAAGAAAGGTTCTCACAGTTTTAAAAAAACACACACCAACTATTCATAGTTTAATAGCAAAAATAAATGCTTTGTAAATCTAGAGAGTAAGGTGGGTATTATCAATGGAAACATGTTAATGCTGGATATGAGTCCTATCTGTTTCTTTGCCCTACTCATTGCTTTCAATTTCTTTGTTTAACAGAATGCAAAGATGTGAACAAAGTGGCTTACTGCCCACTGGTGCTGAAGTTCAAGTTCTGCAGCAGAGCGTACTTTAGACAGATGTGCTGTAAGACTTGCCAAGGACACTGACCCACAGCAAGCCTCGTTAATTCTACCATGGAAAACGTGCCTGCCCTGAATTCACACAAAAGAATGGGATTGACATCCCACAAACTCTTTACCCTGTGGAAAACGTAACCACTGGTCAGCCTCAGCTGACAATAATTTGCTGTTATTTTAACTTCTGTGAAGTGGGATTTTTTAACGAAGTGCTGGACACAGAGAGGAGGAGATGCCATTTCTGAGGTTTCAGCTCTGCAACATGAAAAACAGCTCAGCTGTTTACAGAACATGCACGATCGCTTGAACAAATTGAATAGTTGGTTCATCTCCAGGGACCAGGAAGCTAAATGTAATATAGTGGACCTAAATAAGAGAGAGAGAGAACATTACATATACGTTCAAAAGCTGGTAAAGCAGAAAGAATGAGAATTATCTGAGTTTGCCTGACGTGTCAATATAAAGAATTGGAAAAACTCCGACAAAGATATTATGTTTTCAACACATTTTAGAAGCATCGCAATTATTTATCTCACTCAATGGTGACCTAAAAAGTTTTATACTATCAACCGATAAGTTATTTAAGAAAACAGTAGGAACCAAACACGGAACGGATTTCTGTACATTGTCCTAAAATTCTAGTATTGTCCAGTGAAATTCCTATATTTCAAAGATATCTGCAAAAAATTAATATCATCATTGCAAATCCCATTAAGGTAACTAGTCCATTCCGTCAATGGAAGCGAACTAAACCATTTTATCCAGGATGGATAGAGAAGTGCACCAAAATCAGTCAAGATTTCTTGTACTAGCTGCAGTTGGATGTTTGAATGGTATCTTGTCAGCAAAATAAATTCAACACCTTTCAATTCACAATTATTTTTAAATAAAAGGGAATAAGGACATTCCTGTTGAAGCCATTCTGAAATAGGAGAGAGGCGGAAATCACATCCTCAGGCACTGCTCTGCCAGTGTAAATGATGCTTAGGGCTTGAATTGTACCACTCAAACTGCCTTTGTTTATGCCACTAGTGTTGAAGTGGCCTCGACCACACAGGAATCCAATTTCTTATGTCATGCTTCCTTCAGCAGGTCTGATCAAGACCACCATGCTAGACAAAATGTAAAGAGACAGACTATCTACTATGAAATGAGGCACACCTTTCAGCAGAGCTTGTGAAAAAAAAAGGAAAAAACAGCGCTCCAGATGCTTCTCAGTTTAGACATGGGAGACACCTGTTTTAAAAGCATTTAAAAACATTGTTTTTGTGCTGCTAAGCAGATAACTGCAGCCAAAGAAAATTCGTAAAACAGAATATAAATGATTTTAGACTATTTAGGTAGCACTACTCTCACTAGGAATATTAAAGCAAAACATTACTCTTAGATTTGACATTGTATTGTTACCTTAATTATATTTAAATGTGAAACCACATAGTATTCTTACATTAAAGCTGAAACAGACATGATTCCAAAGTCCAGTGCTAGAAGAGCAAATGACCTAGCATGATTAAAGACTCAATGTTGAGATAATAAAAGAGGTACTTGTTCATATTACTACAGTACTTGAACACTAGCAGGTTGCAGCAGGTACTTAAATGAATGTGCATTTGTGTTGAACTGTGCCTCTTTTTTNCTAGTGCAATGAACCTATCTTAAGTGAGAATATTTGTAAATCATTGTGTACAAAATCCATTACCATGCAAAACAGGGCACTTTTCATCAGTTAGGTGAGATTCTGTAGATCTTGAATGAACAGATGTTTAGTAGAGTACATTTATTTTCATTTCAAAATAATTATTTTAAAGTAATTTTCATGAAAAATGTGATTTTTAAAAAAAAACAGATACGAACCTGCTAAATCATACTTCCGCCAATTGATGCACATGAGCAAAGATGATTTGCTACACAAAACAACCATACAGGCTGGCATCTCATGTCGCACATTTGGTCTGAAGTCATAGCTACCAAAACCTTTTTGACATAAATGTAGACCAACAAGGTTTTGACAATCTGTATAGGATGTTGTGCTGCACACTTAGTCATGACTATGGAAATCTTATCTGTCATCTACTACCTCTCGACAGTATTTTAAACTGCTTTCTTCCACAATAAGACTGGCTATGTCAACTCAGTGTTCATTTAAATGCCTATCATCAGGCTTATTTAACAAACTAGTTCCGAACATTGGGACAACCTTCTGAAAAACTAGTCAGTCTATCTTGGTGCTGTCAATGCCTTGGGAAGTCTAAGTTATCATAAAGGGAACTGTGTTGCTATGACAATCCCAAGAATGGGGCCCTCATATCAGTACTTAACACTCCAGGGCATGAGTATGTTTATCAGTAAATGTTTCATTTCAACATCAAGGAACTTTATTTAAAGAATCCTTCTTTACCTCAGATTAGGTATTTACATTGCAAAGACTGTTTCCACAGATTTTTTTTGTTCTGTGGTGCTGGTGCTATATAAGCAGGGAGTTGAATGTATATCTACAATATAGAACAGCACTGAGAGTGGAATTAAATCAACTCCCTCGAGCAACATTGGATTACATTATTAAAGGGAACAGAACACGAAAAAGGTGTTTGAATTACTAGAACATGAAAAAAAAGCTTCAATCTGGGACCTAAATAAGCGGAACTGAAATGAGACCAGAATAAAAGAAAACAAACCAGTGTTCAAATAGCACAGTGCATTGCTGCTGCTACTTTGTAGCCACTCTGAATATCAAAGCTGAATCCTTTTGTAGTTTTCAAACTGATAACAGAACTAATTGTGCAAGCTGTAAAGGAGTTTGACAGCTCTTCCATGCTGAGATGAACAGTGCATTGTAGCAAGTATAATGAAGAGCCCAAGGCTTACAATGCCGTATTATCAGCATCTGGTCACAGACTAAGAAAAGGCTTGTCCACAGATATACCCCAAGGTGCATACTTCAAGGACTGGTACAGTTAATTATGGACTCTATTAATCACTGAATGTCACATAGGTATCCTTATCCAGATTGGAACTAGCATTGTATTATTGTGATTAGTTGCTTATATTTTATATTCAGTATTAATGTGGTACACTGTTACTAAATATTTTTCCTTTTTTGTAAATTATATGCTAATTTATTGCCATGTTTCAAGACACTTGTTCTACATTTATTTCACTGTATATAATGAAAGGTAATACTAAATGCAGTGAAGTAGTATTCCTCATTTGTGACACAGAATCAGTTCTTTCCTAGGTAATTTAAAACAATAAAAATGCAGCTTCTAAATGTAGCAGAATTCCTGTTACCCTTTGTTTATTTGGTGACCTGCAGTTATATGAAGCATCGATTGAGTAATACAGCCTGGTAATGTATATACGTAGTTGAAATATGTGTCCTGAAGCAACACTCAAACTCTTTGGTATGATCCCTTGTTCAGACTTCACTTGCAGAGCCATATTTAAAAGCATGTGGAGTCAAGAGCTAATTTTCTAATGCAATCCTGTGGAAACCGAAATCCAACCTTTCACCTTTTGCAGGTAGTTCTGTACTTGTTGAAGTTTGTAAAGTTAATGGATATGAAGGACATTCTCTGAAAGATATTTTCTTCTAAATGAAGCTATCTATCTATGTATAATATTTGATAATTTGTTAACGTGTTAGCCCTATTGACCTAGCAAATTTATTTCACATTTATTTAACTCATCTAAAGAAATAAAATAGGGGTGCAATTAACATTAGGTATAAACCTTTCCACTGTACAAATGATTTTGACCCTGAGTTATAAATCTGTTTATTTATTGTCACATTGCATATTTGCAACAATACAGTTTTCTTTCACTGAATATGTGTCTTGTAATGGATCTAAGTGTGTACTTACATTTCATAGTCTATAATATCTCTGGACTAGGATATTCATTTTCTGTGATTCAGCAACATTTCATCTAGTGACAACTAACTTAACAGCATCATCTGTTGATTGACCATTGAACCTGACTGCAAACATCATGCTGTCAGAATACTGATTCCATGCTTGACATGAACAATAGGACTTTAGAAACAGCGCTGCTGTTCTGTTAAAAATTTTTTTAACTATCCCCTTACTAAAAGAATGAAAGTGAAATGTAAAAGACTTTAAAATATATTGTTTAGATGCAAGTTTGTATGTGCGTGTGTGTGTTTGTATGTGTGTATGTGCGTGTATGTATGGATGTATGTATTGCCAAAAGTTAAAGTGCTGCATTGGCAGAAGTGACATCAATCTTATTCATCAAGTCACCTAGCCTGTCTTCAATTTGGGATTTTCTTATATGGGGTTTTCTTCGCACAAGGACAAGTGGGCTGCAAATGAAGGGAAACATGCTGGAAGCTGCCAAGGACGGTGATAGTTCTGTTAATTTTCATTAACCCTTTGTCCAAAGTAAAACATGCTCCTTTCAAATGGCCTGTTGATCATAGAAGTCTGTTGAGTGTGTCTCATTTCATTTGGTCAAAGTGTCAGAAATACTGAACTGCCATTTGAATTGAAAATAATGGCATTTTGCTATTGTTTCTTCATTTGCTTTTGACAATCATTTGGGCACCATGAGGTTGTTGCCTCATTGGGCAGTTTAAAATCACAGAGCAGTATTAGAGGGAACTGAACTGTTCTTGGAATGAGATGTGAATCTGAGACCATCTCTTCTGGTGGATGAAACATATCCAGTTCACATATTCAGAAGACATGACAAGCTGGCCCAAGTATACCACAAGAATGTCCTTTGAGTACACCATGTATAAACTTTTCCAGCTTATTACATATTTTTAAATAAAATTAGTAACTCAAAATATTTTTGCAAAATTGATTGCAATGTTTAATCGATACCCACACTTGGGAAGTGATGTTATAAAGGGATCTTGAGACAGGCTATCTTGTTTAAGTTGAACTGTATTGAATCAGTCAAATAATAGGAAAAATTGTGCTAGTCGACATACCTGCTTTTGGTAAGGAAAGCTCTTACTAACTGGTGCATGAGAGAAGCGATTTAGTAGACCTGTGGGCAGTTCTGTAACGCTGTTTGGCTCCACTTTCTCAAAGATTCCTGACTGCTGTAGAAGAGAGTGATCTATTAGGTACAGATCAGAGAAACGTACTGCAAGCCAGTATGTAACTTACCCAATGTGTAAGCTATCTGCAACTCTTGGATAATACTAAGGGATATCTATTTAAACAAATGAGTCACTATACATGACAGTAATTAACAGTGAAGCGCTGTGAGATGTTTCAAAATGATAAGGTGTAACAAAAATGCAAGTTCTTCCTACCATACCGCATCTGAACATTTTGAGATCAGTCAACATCTCTCTTGTAAAGGAAAGCCATTTTTGTCATGGGGGAGGAAGCTAAAAGGTAGCTTTTAAATGAAATAATTACAAAGATATCATGTAGTATAAACAAAATGTGCAGTGGAAACAGATGAAATGTATTCCACTTTGAAATGTAACTTAATAATTCAGGCTATGTTGAAGTTAGGATGTGAGTGCCTCTTTCTCCCTTTAATTACTTCAGGTGATATTGATTCATTCTCCATGACAATCCAAGGACATCATCCTTCCACTCCAGTTACTTTCACCTTGCCATGGTTTCTTTCACCTCATTCTGTGAATCTCAGTCATTCATGCTCATTCTCTCATGTGTACCCTTCATTAAATCACAAATCTGCAGCTCTGATGCTTTGTTTTCTGTATTAGTATTGCCTCTCTTATGTCACTAAAGAGTCTTTTGACTTTCATATAAAGGAATGGAAAATTGGATGTTTAAGAAAAGATTTGGTGTGATGACATCAAGTTTCTGATGAAACATCACATTTTTGATCAGGTTCTACACTTCCATCTCTTCACATTTTGATATTTGAAATGACTTCCTGACAAGAAAACTCATTCATAATCAAGATGAGATCTCTATGTAATATATATAATGGATCGTAAGGTTTTGTGGTCTATACTTTACACAATACAATACAAAATGACATTTGTATAGTACCTTTCACGTCGGGAGGATATCCTAAGGCGCTGGACATCAGGGATTTGGACCCAAGCTGGGGAGGGTAGGAGGGTGGTTGACGGCTCGGTTGAAAAAGAGGGTTTTGAGACGCACCTTGAAAGTTTTTGAGAGAGGTTTTTGATTTGGTTTCAAGAGGGTTAGGTTTTTGATCACTATTGCAGACCCAGTGATATAACTTCACGTCCTTTCAGGGGAAAGTTACCATGGAGCTGAGGTAGAGGCCATTTTACCTCTCAGAGTGAGGTATGCAATATGAAGTGACATGGATTGGGATTACATCAAACCTCACAAGAGTCATAATCCATAAACTAGCTGTTAAAGTAAAGCTAATTGTTGATTTGCCTTACATGCATATATTACACAAAAGATGCTGAATTATTTTCATGTGATGAAGTTCTATTTTCTCCAGATATTTTTCTTATTCATTTTCTCCATTAATTTATGCCCTCCTCTCCTTGTGGCCATTTGCCTTCTTTTTCTTCTTCTATTAGTACAATTCCACAAGCCTCTCCCAAATAGCCATTATTATTGCTTGAGTCTCAACAGTAAGTATTGGCAAGGTATCCACAGGAGTGTCACAGACAAACTTGATTTTATCCTCACCCAATATCCACCCATGAATGATCAGCAGTGGGAACCTTGGCTTATAGTCCTCTCCTGGCATATCTGGCTGTACGCTGTAACATCACCACCTGAGACAACTCTTGAATCAGAAACGGGAACTTTAAGGTTTTACCACTTAAAAAAAAGTATTAAAATAAATTGGGAGTAAAACAAAGGTACTCAGATAGCCAGAGGATAAAGATAATGGTGTTTCATTTGTGTGATGAGATCAGCTAATGCAGAGTAGACTGGGATCAAACCTACAACATTCCTGGTATTTATGGACTTGCTGCTCATTGCATGAACTTGCTGAACTATCAGGATAATTCTTCAGATTTCTTTTTAAAAAATGTGACTTTACTGCCAAGCGTATAACATTTTGTTTCAACAATGCAATGTCCCTGGTGACCATCAACCAATATACATTCATTGGTGAGAGCTACAAAACATCATAAGGTTGACACACAATCACTTTTTTCCTCCGGCTATCTGAACACCTTTGTTTTGCTCCCAATTTATTTTAATATATGTATGTTTCTTTTAAGCGGTAAATTTTTCAAGTTTCCCATTTTCAGATTCAAGAGTTGCTTCAGGTAGTGATGTAAAGCGCCTTGGGATGTGAAAGGCGCTATACAAATGTAACATTGTCGTTGTATACTGTAGTATACTGTAGTATACAAGTGTTGCATCGAAGAATGTGCTGCATATGTCATGTAACTAACAGAAGAATATTATAAGGTGACTTTTTTGCATAATATTATGTTATCTTTTGATTTGGTGAATGAAAAACTAAAAATCTTAAAGGAAAAAAATCTAGCTTTGAAAATTTTTGAATAGGAACACAAACCGTTTATATACTTTCAATAAAACCAGAAGTTGATGGGATCACTCAGCAGGTCAGGCAGCATCTATGGAGAGAGGAAAGTGAGTCAACGTTTCAGGCTGTTGACCTTTCATCAGAAATGGGGGATGGTGGAAGGAGCAGATTATAAGCGTAAGTGGAGAAGGGGTCAGGGAAAGAAAGACATAGGAACAAAATTAAATGGAGGACAGTAGATGATAAGATCAGAGGTGTTGATGGTGCCAAGAAGGCAATAGTGGGAGATTATAGGAAAAGATGTGTCTGAGACCCAGACATGTTTCGACTTGAAACATTAACTCACTTTCCTCAATCCATAGATGGTGCCTGACCTGCTGAGTGTTCCCAGCAACTTCTGTTTTTATTTCAGATTTCCAGCATCTGCAGTATTTTGCTTCCGTTTATATACCTGCTATTTTGGTAAATCCTGTAAGATGACAAGTTATCACTCTTCAGTGTGATAATATTTTGAGTAGTCTATTTTATCTTCTGTGACGACTGCCTTAAATACCAGGTTAAGGCTCTTTGTGATAGTTGTGTCACAAGTCTGATCGTCTGCACAAAATTGAAGTGACATATTGTAGATGATGTTTCTTTTTGTACAGAGGCCAACAGAGGATTTGACAGAATTCTCAGCCTGTCTTGCATGTAGTCATGGAGCTAAATATTCACACCAGAGGCTGCATTTCATATCTGAAAAGCTCACATGAGGTAATGAGATGTGTATGGCCTATTTATACATAGAATCCTAGAAAACTGTAGGATAGGTGGAAGCCATTCAGCTGAT